CCCCCTTAGCCCTGTCTGGAAGCCCCATTTATAGTTTTTGTCACTGCCTGGAAAGAAATTCTGCCCTGGAAGCCAGAGGGAGAGAGCCACACCGTTCTGTTCTGCACTCTCCATGGTGGGTGAACCTCAGGCAGACTCCCAGGCAGGGGCAGGAAGAGACTTCCAGGGGCTTCTCTTAAGCCAAAAGGGCCGTTTTCCCCTCTAATAGCCCATCTTCAAGGATGTCATTTGCTCTCCCCTCGCTAATTGTTTGGCTATAATACTCTTCACATCTCAACAAATAAATGAACCTGACTCCATTTCTGGTAGAAAATTCTGTCCTGCTCTCCCAGGCCGACAGTGAGGCAGGGAGAGCAGAAGAAAGGGAATCCTGGGATCATGTTGTGGAATTAGACCATGGAAGCCCTCACAAACCCCTAAGTGAGTGTGACCAGAAGCTTCCTATTGTATTTATAGTTCAGGAAATATTGTGTCCGCGGCTTGTAGAAACAAGCGGGGCCCTCACATTTCGGACACCTTCTCCTTTTACAAGACAAGGCGCACAGGCAGACACTCTGCCACCGGCTGAGGCTGGAGGTCTTCATACAGCTCTCAAGGACAGATATTTTCTAAAGAAGTTTCTCTGCAAAAACAACCCACAAGAACGCAGGAGAAATAAGTTATCTACAGAAATGAGCAGATAACCAGCCATCCTCTTTACTATGCTTCCTGTGAAAATAGGAAGAAAGAAAAAAATTCCTCCAGGCACGCTCACATAGGTCTGACTGGATGCTGTGTGTGTGTGTGTGTGTGTTGTTGTTGTTGTTTTTTTAAGTCATTTAACTCCATGTGAGTTGGCCTGCTCCTTAAACTCTAAAGTTTTATGAAGATTACAGCAGACAGAAATAAGCAAGCTGACAATTTATAGCCTCTGAGTCTTTTAAATCATGGGAAAGCTTCTCCACAGCGTGTGATGGGTCCAACAGCCTTCCTGCCCATTCCCACAGCCCAGGGTGGGATGTGGCCACGGAGATGGTGTGGCCACTTCCTCCACGCCAGTTACTCAAGTGAATCTGCCAGCAGCCCTATCACTCTTTTTTCCCCTGCTCCTAATTTTAGTCCTCAAGAAAGCACTCGAGCAAGATCACCAAATGAGCAACCAAAATAAACTCTTCACCCAGTATTTTCCAATAAAGAACCCAACACTCAGAGCAGCGAAACAAAGACTCCAGGATTCTTAGACACTTACAAAAAAAAACAGAAAACCCCAAGAGAGTTTCTATCCTGGTCCCCACCAAGGTGTAGCCACGTTTCCCTGAGCACAGACACGGCAATTCCCACGTTCACGGGGCACAAAAAGGGACCTGGGGTCTCCCTGGCCACTCACTGTTCTAGAGAGGTGGGACTTGGGGGAGGGTCTCGATCTTTCAGGAAACTTCCCAGGTTTCGCTCTTTGGACCTCTCTCTTTGGGAACATCTGTTGGCTAATGTTGGGTAGGAGCGGCCTGTGCATACAATCAAGTATGTTGAAACTCCAAACCTATACTTTAAGTTTTTTTCACTTTGAGCGCTTGCAGAGAGCTACCCAGTTCACAAGGAGAAAAGCATCTGGAGACAGAAGATCCCATTTTTTTTTTGTCTGTTTGTTTCATTTCTAAGTTGGAGAATTTGGCCTAATTCCTCAGCCGGGATAGGGGGAAATCCGCAGGGTCCCCTGTGGGTCCCCCTCCAGAGAAACACCTCGGGACAGGCCACGGCATCCTGGCCACCGCTCTGCCACTGGGGAATGTGGGGAGGGGGCCAGAGGGTGCTGAGGCCGAGCTGGGATTGCACCCAGGAAAAAACTTATTTCCCCTGGCTTCACCCGCGGATGCAATATCGGGACTGTTTTGGAAATCATAGATTATGTAAATTTCCTGGGATCAAACAGAAGGAGCAGCTAACAAAAGAAAGGCGGAAATCTCCTACTGACAAACGACCATTTCTTCCCTCAACTACCCTTTATGACGTGTCAGGGAAAACAACCTAATGGCTCTGGGGACTTTTAAGTTGGGCGCTGAAGACACCTCCATTTCCCCCCAACTTCAGTGCCCGGGTGGGAGAATTCCCCTGGATGTGGAGGGGGAGCGCGTTTCTCTATCTTTAGAGTTATCCCAAGGGTGGTGGGATGCCTCAGTTGCCTTTTGAGGGCCCTGCCCACGGAGGTTTTAAATCCTACAGAAGGGGAGGGGAAAGGGAAGGAGAGTGAAAAGAAAGGCGAGGCGGGAGAAAAGAAAGCGCCGTAACCCCTTTCATTTAGCCTAGGGATTCAAAGACTAAAGTTAAATCCGGCCATAAACTTTATTGCTTCAGACTCACAGCCGGGTGAGAACAGTCCCACCGAAATAAAAAGAACGTGCAGGCCAGCAAGGTTCAGGGCCTGGGCCCCCGGGGGGCGGGGTGAGGGGTGGGGAACCTCCCCCCAGGTGGGGGGGCCGGGGGTCCCCATTGCCCTGTAGACGCCAGGGTCCTGGGCTCGGCCTGGCAACCCAGGGGCCCAGCCTGGAGGCGCGGCCCGCGCCCCGCCGCCCTCTGCCACCCTCTGGCTCTCCGGAGCCAGCCTGCAGCCCGGCCCAAGGCGGCCACCCCGATCCAGGGCTGCCCAGTGGGCCAGGCCCCGCGAAGACACACTGCCACGGCCCCACAAGGAACCCCGCCGGAGGCCGCGGGCAGGCCTGCCTGGGCTTTCTCTGCAGCTCCCCAGCCCGGTGCGGCCCCGGCCCAGCGCCCCACAGCCTCCCAGCCCCCACCCCGGGCTCCGCGATCCCCCCAAGAATCAGGACCCACCAGCTCGGGGACGGGGGCGGCCCAGCCCAGAATGCACACCCAGGCCCATCGGCGCACAAAAACCATCTTTTCTGCAGGGCGAGCGGCGGAAGTCATTAGCAGCCGCGGCGGCAGCCCCAGGCCCAGGCCGGCCAGGCCGCGCCGCGCACCGTGTGGCCCGCAGGGCAGGCTCCTGGCGCTTCTGGCGCCCAGAGGGCAGGTTTGTGCCCCCCCCTTTTGAATCAGGGGGCCACCTCAGCGTAACTGAGCCCGAGATCAGAGCAAGCGAGAGAGAGGAGAAAGCCAGGAGGAAAGTTTTCAGAGTGCAAATAAACTCCCAAGGAGGCGAGCTTACCTTAATGTGGAGGGAGCCATTTTTCAGAGAGTTTTGAGAACTTGTGGTTTGGACACTTCTGGGCCTAAACCTGACAATTTGAATGACCAGGCGGCACACGTAGCCTGCAAAAGAGTCAAATGGAGTCCAGCGTCAGTGCGATTATATGTTATGTGGTATATAATGTTGGATGTCAACTCCCCAAAACCATAAAACTTACTTTAATGGCCCCACGTGACGCTTTATAGCCAGTGAGCCGATCTGTCTGTGCTATGGATGATTTTACGATCTAATTCATAGACAAAACCCTATTCATTTGGCACCCAAATGTCATATAGCCGGAACTGGGGCTTATAAAGTTTACTGTTTTATAACTTTTAAAAGGCAAGACGGCATCAGTGTAAGCAGTCGGTAAATGTGCAAATCTCTAGTTGCGCTTTAGCTGCCCTGAGGAGTTTCCCAATCGAGCTAGGATGGGGTAAGTACCTTTCATTTGTAGCAAATTAATTGTAGCGAAAGGAGCCAACTGGGTTCAGGGTGAGGTGTGGGAAGGGGTGCCTGGGTGGGATAGAGGCAGCGAGTTTGGGGGCCACAGCGTGGCACAGCCGCCTCTTCAGGTGGAGGCCCAGGATGGCCTTGGAGAGAGGCGGCCTCTATGTGGGCCCCGTGGGCCGCTAACAAAGCCCTGGGCTTCCCTCCTTTCTCTCTCTCTCTCTCCTCTGTGTCCTACCCAGCAAGTTGACTCGGTTTCCTCAGAGATGGGCAGGTTATAATCACGCTCTGGGACCCCTACAGCTCCCCACCTTCTGTCCTGAAACTTTCTGAGAGGCCAGCGTTAGGAAGGCTGTGGGTTGGGGTGTCGGTCTGAGGTCTCCTGGCACAGGCAGGCTGCTCAGGTAGCCTCAGACCCATCCGCCTCCAGGACCCGGACAGACAGACGGAAGAGCGGAAAGAGCCGCTCACTCTTTGGCACAAACCAGACCAAGAGAACTTACAATAGAAAGTTTATTTTTTGTTTTTGTTTCCAGTCAGTATTTTTTTTCCTTAAAAACAAATACAAAAAAAAAAAAAAAGCTGATCACAGTTTGCTTAAACAGCCAGACTTGGACAATATTTGTAACTTTGTTCACAAAAACATACATCACTGAAGCTGCGCTTATAAGAGCCACTTCCAGAGTTCGTGCAAAGGGTCCTACAAAGGCACGCAGGGACACACCGCTCGGAGTCACAGTTTTCGTCACAGAGTCACTAGTCACTACACGTCAAACAAGTTAAGTTGTGTCTCATCAAGTCACCGCTACGACAGCATTACTTACACAAGGAATATAGGTAGTTTGAATAAAAATATCTTTAACAGCTTGGAGCTATTGAGACAGGAACACTTCCACTCACATGCACAGTTAAACAACTGGAGTGCAACACACAACATTGGCACTAAACGAGGTCGAGGGGGGGACTTTTTTTTTGTGTTTTTTTTTCTCTTTTCTTTTTTTTGTTATAGTTACTTCAAGTAACACAGCTCGCTTCATATAAATAAGTTAAAACATCTATTTTTTTTTCTTCAAGACAAAGCCATTCAGGACAAAGAGATGAACAGAAAGCAGATCTACTTATACAGGCGCTATAATGGCAATAAACAGGCTCATGATTAAAAGATGAATCAGGGCAACGAGAACGGGGCTTCTTCACAGAAGGAACACAGGGGGGGGTCTCAGAAAGTCACCTTAGTACTGACACTACGCGCGGGGGTCCCGCTAATACTGCTCAGTACTTTAAACGCTCAAATACTCAGGGGCGGAAGGCCCCTCCGGCCGCGGCCATGCTCATGCTTTTCAGCTTATTATCTTTTTTCCACTTCATCCTCCGGTTTTGGAACCAGATTTTAATCTGTCTCTCGGAGAGGCAAAGAGCATGTGCTATTTCGATCCTCCTCCGGCGGGTCAGGTAGCGGTTGAAGTGGAATTCCTTCTCCAGCTCCAGCGTCTGGTAGCGCGTGTAGGCCGTCCGGGCCCGTTTGCCTTCCGGGCCGCCTATGTTGTCTGCAACAGAAAAGCCAGCGGTTTAGCCACCAAGTCCCCAGCCCCCGGCCCCCAGAGCCCGCCAGCTGGACGGGCCAGGGTCCAGATCAGGGAACAGGAGAGAAAAAGCTCAACAAGTCCCCCCTCTTCGCCGCCCCCCCCCCCCCCAATTTCCTTCCCTCTTCCTTTCTAGAGAGAAAACAATACGGTTTGGACTCTGGGAACAATCAGGCCATCTGAGGCTGGAGCTGCGCCCCTGAGGATCTCTCGCTCTTTCCTCCCCCCCCCCCACCAAGCCCTCTCCTACCCTCTGGCCCTGCCCTGGTGCCCCGAGGCCAGGGCACAGCCCTTCAGGCTGCCGCCCGCCACCCACCAAAGCCGGGCCCTTTTCGGAGCGCCCCAGTGGCCTCTGGCTCCCTCTCCCTTCCAGCTCCAGCCCCGGGAGCCGCCGCCTGCTCCAGCCCGCACGCTTGGGGCGCCCGCTTTCTCTTTCTTCCCTTTCCTTTCCTGCTCTTCCTCCTGCCCGCAAACTTCAGAGTCCCGCCGGCTCTCGCAGGGGCTATTCCCCCCAAGCCCCTTTTCGGGGACTCTCATTAGGAACGCCGTTTCCCCCAGCGTCGCCCTCCTCATAAATTATCCGCCCTGACAAGCCCGATTCACAGCCCCGACTGCCATCCTCCCTCCACCCCTGCGCCCTGCCTGGCCGGCCTGACCCGGGAGCGCGATCCGGGGCGCCGGGGTCCGACAGACATGGGTTTTCTCCTTTCCCCCCCACTTTCAGCGTCCACACTTGCCTACCCGGCGGCTCCCCCTACCCCCACCCGCACCCTGAGAAGGCAGGGCGCTGCGAAGAAGAGGAGGAGGAGGATGGAGGAAGGCAGGGAAGGAGGCGCGGGGAGAGGCTCCGCGGGGCCGGGAGAGGGATGGGAGAGGGGTCGGGGAGAGGCGGGAAGGGAGAGGGAGCGGGACCGCGCCCCCGCGGCCGCGGGGGGAGGAAGGCCGGCGTTACCATGGCTTATGTGCAGCTTGCGCATCCAGGGGTAGATCTGGGGCTGGGCGGGCGGCGCCGGGCTGGGCTCGCTCTGCGCGCTCGCCGGCTCGCTGCTGGCGGGGGCGTCCTCCTCGGCTCCGGACGCCGCGGTGCCAACCCCCTCTCTGCCGCCGATGTGGGTGCCGCCGGCGGGGGCCGAGGCGCCGCTGGAGCCGCCCAGGGAGTTTTTCCCGCCGTGGTGGCTGTCGGCGCCGGGCGAGGGGGCCACGGCGGAGCAGGGCAGCGGGTCGGGCGGCGGCGAGTGCGTGGCCGCGGCCGGCTGGCTGTACCTGGGCTCGGCGGGCGCCGCGCTGGCGCCGGCCGCGTAGCCGCGGGCGCGCTCCCCGGAGGAGCCAAAGTGGCCGGAGCCCGAGCGGCCGACGCTGAGATCCATGCCATTGTAGCCGTAGCCGTACCTGCCGGAGTGCATGCTCGCCGAGTCCCTGAATTGCTCGCTCACGGAACTATGATCTCCATAATTATGCAACTGGTAGTCCGGGCCATTTGGATAGCGACCGCAAAATGAGTTTACAAAATAAGAGCTCATTTGTTTTTTGATATGTGTGCTTGATTTGTGGCTCGCGGTCGTTTGTGCGTCTATAGCACCCTTGCACAATTTATGATGAATTATGGAAATGACTGGGACATGTACTTGGTTCCCTCCTACGTAGGCACCCAAATATGGGGTACGGCTCCGAATCACGTGCTTTTGTTGTCCAGTCGTAAATCCTGCCTGATGACCTCTAGAGGTAAACTCGCGCACTAATGGGGGAGCTGGGTGGAGGCGAGAGGGGTGGGGCGCGCGCCCCGGGCGCGTGCCCGCCGCCCGCCGCCGCCGTTCAGTCGGACTCGAGCGCCACCCGCTGGAGGCAGGGCTCATCGCGCCGCTCCCGACCCGGGGCTGCGAGGGCCGGGGTCGAATCGAGGTTACGGCCCATTATGGCAAAATTATTGCATTTCCCTCGCAGTTCCATTAGGATGTACCAATTGTGAGGCCGTCAGCTGCCGATCGCGTGCCCGGCGAGGATGCAGAGGGCTGGGGTGGGGGAGACGGTGACTTGGATTTTTATTTGCAACAACTTTGATTTCCCCCGCTGTGCTGTGCAGCCCCTCTTATTTTTATGTCGAGGTTGGGGTCGGTTCTGCCCGTCATGCCGGCAGCTCTGAAATGTGAAAATACAGAGATCACCTTCGGGGGAGTGGGGGGAAAGCCATTTAGCCCAGCGGAGAAATAAATCCTGCCCTCGGCAGGAGCTACAATCGCGGCTCTGTTTTTGCGGGTGCGGGAGGGACAGGATCCCGGCCGCTCCTAAGGGACAGGCGTCTGTTAGAGATAGCTTTTGTGTGGCGCTTCTCCGCGGCGAGGTCACACTCCACACACTTTTATCACCGGGTCCGATGGTCCTTGCATGCAAATTTGTTTTTGTTTTTGTTTTGTTTTTTTTTCGTGTCATTGGCTTGCTGTTTGCTTTGCTCTAAGGATCCAGCCAGGGGGATCTTCGGCGCCGGGTCTTTTTTCCTGGAGCCGCCGGGCCCCAGGTCCGAGGGGTTCCAGGTGAACCCAGCGAGTGGGCCGAGGCCCCCCGCAGCTACAGACGCTGCTTGGGGGCTGGCGGTGTGTGGGCCGCGTTATTGGGGTTCTGCTTAGACCCCCAGGAGCACATGCAGGGCGCTAATGGAAGCATTGCCAGCCAGTGCGTCGTATCCCCGCAGTTGTTTTCCTGGTTCGGAAAGATGAAAGTAAACCACAGAGACAGCCGAAAGGCAAGGCAGGGTTTCCCCGCCGGAGGCCCTGCGTCGCAGGCGCCCCTGGCAGGCTGGGAACCATGATGCAGGCCGCTCCCACGGCCCCGGCCCCTCCTCTGGACCCCAAAGCGCGGTGGCACGGCCCGAGGCTGCATCCCCGAGTCCGGAGCCTGCGGAGCCCGGCCGCTCCGGGCTGCCCGGTTCCACCCGCGCTCGGCTCTCCTCCACGGACGGTGGTGCGGGCACAGAGGCTAGACTCTGGGGGGAGGGGGCCTTTGTTCCCGAAGCTTCTTCCTGTCGGGGGCGGCCTGGGAGGCCACCGCGGTGCCGGGGCCCCAGGCTTTGGGTTCCCTCTTTGCCGTGGCCAGAGTCGATTGATTTGGCGGTGCCCTCCGAGGATTGGTGGCGAGGGACCGGGGCCAGAATGCCCAGAAACCCGAAGAGGGTGGGTCCCCGGGTTCTTTCCTCTCCAGCAACCCCGATCCCGCGCCAGAGGCGTGCAGAGGCGCTACCCACGAGCCAGGGGCGAGTTGGGGGCGCGCCGATCCGGAGCGGCGCGGGCAGCCTCGGGGAGCGGGGTCTGTGTGCAGCCGCCCGCTCAGCCGCTGGCACTGGCTGTGTGTGTGTTGTTGTTTTTTATGTTGTTGCTTTTTTTTTTTTGTAAGAAATAAAATGCTCAGGCGTTTGCAAAGCTTCGGGCTCCCCTGAAGCTGCGTAAGCCCCCCAGATGGTAGCAGGCAGGGAGAAAGGCTGGGGAGCAGGCGAAGGCGAGGGAGCAGAGCCGAGGGAGGTGGCGCCGCTGGCCTGGTCCCCGCCCGGGCGCCTACTCGCCCGCTTTGGCCTCGGCCTCCTCCCCGCCGGGCTGCGTGGAATTGATGAGCTTGTTCTCCTTCTTCCACTTCATGCGGCGGTTCTGGAACCAGATCTTGATTTGGCGCTCGGTGAGGCAGAGCGCGTTGGCGATCTCGATGCGGCGGCGGCGGGTCAGGTAGCGGTTGAAGTGGAACTCCTTCTCCAGCTCCAGCGTCTGGTAGCGCGTGTAGGTCTGGCGGCCTCGGCGCCCGTGGCTCCCGTACACGGCACCTGCGGGCACAGAGCCCCGCGCCGTGAGCCCGGACTGGGCAGCTGCACCAGGCAACCCCGCACCCCGAGCCCCTGGGCTGGAAACCGCCCGCCTGCACGCGAACCTCTGCCACTGTCTTGGGCCAAAAGCCTTCTGGTGGGAGAAGGTTATTTCATCCCAAGCGAGATGTTTGCCACCTGAAATGACTTGGGTGGGAAGTTATTGGGGGTTTTTTGTGTTTGTTTGTTTTTTGTTTTTTAAAAACCCTGCTCAATACAAAAAAAAAAAAAACAAGCAAAAGAATAGAACGGGCATTCCTAATTTGGGGTACCTCAGCCGTGTTGTGTGGGCGTGCAGTGTGTGTGTGGGAGTGGGGGTGTGGAACCCTGTGAGGAGGGGAGACCCCCTGCATCCACACATGGATGTCTGTGGAGGTGTTATGGGGCCAGGCACCCCAGGATGGTTGGTGAGCACTCAGCGTGCTTTTTGGGAAATTAAGAATGGTCAGCCTTCTCAGGTCTTTGCAAACCCCTCCAAATTGTATGGCCCCATCTGAGAAATGCAAAGCTTCCTTAAAGAAAAAAAAACACACAAAACAACAGTGGATGCTAAAGCAAAAGACTGTAAGTTTTAAAATTCACATTAGGCACTGTCCTGCCCTGAGGATTCCCTGTGGAGTTTTGGGGAACCAGGGGCAAAGGGACAGAGCGGTGGGCCATCTGGGGTTCCGGGAAATGGAGGCCTGAGATGGGCTATTTGTTCTGGTGCCAGAGGGGCCGTGGGTGGGGGCTCCCTCCAGGCTGGGTGGCTGAGGTGCGGGCAGGGTCTTAGGAGGAGGCAAAAGTTGGCTGTGAGTGAGCAGTTGAGTAGAAGTGGGAGGAGGAGAGGGAGGAGAGAGAGGAAACATTGCAGCTGGGGATGTGGCCCTCCAAGGCTTTGGGGTAACCCTGGAAGAGGCTAAACGGGGGCCTCTTTCTATATGAGTGTCTGAAGGGCAGGAAGGAGAGGGGGGTGGCCAGGGATGGGTGCAGAAGGCCATCTGGGCTTGGGGATCTGAGCAGGGTGCTACCAGGGCGAGTGTAGGCAGGAGCTCCCTCCACCCAGCCTGGCTCTCTCTTTAGTTTGCCCCTGTCTTGGGGTTCACATAGCAATGACACCCCCACACACACACACTCCTCTAGGGTGTCACCTTACATGGACACTAGTGTCCTGCCTTCACTCTGCCTCAGCTTGATTGCTCCACTGGGAATGGGTTAGTATTTTTTTTTAAATCTCTTTTTCTTAAAGCTAAAGAAACTTTGTTCCTTCCTTCCTTCCTTCCTTCCTTCCTTCCTTCCTTCCTTCCTTCCTTCCTTCCTTCCTTCCTTCCTTCCTTCTCCCTGCCCCCTTCCCCCTCTCCCTCCGCTCTCGGGGGGAGGGCTGCAGGGAAAGCCTTACCCGCACAGGAGTTCATCCGCTGCATCCAGGGGTACACAGGGCTCGTGTACTTCCGGTCGGCGCCTTCCTCGTGGAGGGCTTTGCCGGGCACGCTGCTGCCGTCGGATTTGTACTGCTGCTCGGGAGGACAGTGCAGGTAGTCCCCGGGGCCCCTCTGCTTGCCACCGCCCGAGGGCGAGGCGCCACTGAGGTCCTTATCGGAATAGAAGCACGAGGCCCCGTACTCATAGGACGGCCGGCCGCAGGCCAGGACCGAGTTGGACTGTTGGTAGAAACAAGGTGAGGTGTACGTCTTGTCCGGGAGGCTGGACGCCCCGTACGAGGCCGGGAAGGGCCTCAGCGCGTCGTAGCCGGCCGGGTAGAGGGGCAGCTGGCCCAGGAAGGAGTCCTGGCCGCTGGGCAGGCTCCCGGGGAAAGTGGGATTCACAAAATAGGAACTCATTGGCGCGCCCCTCCGCAGGCCCGTGATTTGTTGTGTATTAGTACATCTGGCTATAACTATTAGTAGTCATCGAACTGGTTTGTTTCTGGATGGCCGAACGCCAAAAGCGACAGCAGCAAATCGCACCAGCTGACGCGGCGGCGGCCAATGGGAGGAGCGCCGGGCCGCTCCCCGGGGACCGCGGCGACCGAGGCAGCAAAGTTACAAACAGCCCCCGGCCCGCGGCCGCCGCCGCAGATGGATGGGCGCCAGCCGGCCGCCCGCTCCCTGCCCCATCGCCAGCGGCGGGCGCGGCCCTCCGGCCGGGCAGGGGCGCCCAGGCCCCGCCAGGCCCCGCCGTGCCCGCTCTGTCCTCCTCCCCCTTCGCCTCGTTGGGTTTTGCTGGTTTTTCTCTCCAAACAGGAACCCTGACAGCCCGGCGCCCAGAGGGGCGGTGACGAGGGTGGCCGGGCTCTCCGCGGCCTGCCCTCCAGGCCGGGTGGGGTCTGCCCCTCCCCCCAAATTCCCCCTCCCACCCCGGGGTGCAGGTCCCGAGCTGGAGACGGGCTCTGAGAAACCAGGCCCGAGCTTTGAGCTCGCACCCTGCACCCGAGGAATCGCCGCCCCCCTTCTTTCCCCTTCCCCACGCCCAGCCGCCGGGCCCCAGCCGCAGAGCGGGGGGCCCACCTGGAGCCCACCGGCCGCGGCCAAAGGCAGCCCCTCACCCGCCGCCCCTCCTCCCGCACACAGCTCGCCTTCAGAGTCCCCGACTCCCTCCCCTCTGAAGGCCAGCGATGCCTAGCCTCAGAGCACCCCCAAACCTGTGCGGCCTCATCTGCCTTTGAGCCCAGGAACCGGGAGGCCAGAAACCACTGTTCCCACCAGAAAGGGGCCTTCGGAGCAGTGGCCTTGAGACAGCTCTGCAGCCGCCCGCCCGGGACCTGCTCCCCTCGCTCAGAGCCCAGGGAATCGCCCTCCCCTCTGACGGCTCAGAACGGAGGCAGAGCCAGCAGCGAAGCTGTCCTCGGTCCAGAGGTTCGGGGCACCCAGGGCGCCTGGCCGGCCGCTCTTGGGGGCAGCTCGCCTAGGCCCGAGGCTGCGGGGTAATTGCTGTGCTTGGTGTCTGGGGTGCCACACTGTCCTGGGGTGTGTCCTCCTTCCTGGGGCCCGTCTGTCTGGGTCCTACCCAGGACAGGCGTTCCAGATCGGGACAAGCTGTCTGGGAGTTCGGGGGAAATGGTCTGGATTGCTTTCACGGCAGCCCCAGGCCTGGCCTTCCCCAAACAGGACCAGAAAAGCCTGTCGGGGCCGCGCTCCCTGAGCTAGGAGGTGTGCCCCGGAGAAAGCTGACTTTTACAACGCAGGGAGCAATCTTGTTTTGTAAAATGTGATTTTTTCCCCCCAATGGCATTTTTACGACTGTATTTTGGGGGCTTGTAAAACCCCCTTGCATTAGCTTTAAAATCCTCAATTCTGTGGAGATTGAAGAAAGACTGTTTATATGATTTGGTTGCATTCCCAGAGGGTGATTATAAGCTCTGTAAACCTCTGGCAAATGCAGAGAAGGGGGTTCAGTACTAAGGGGGTGGTGATGCCCCTTAGGAATCTGGAAACGATTTTCTTAATCTCTTCCTTGCTTTTTAATTTCCCCTCCCCTTACTTCCCCCAGAGGGAAAAAATAGGAAAAAAACACGAGGCTCAGGTTAGTTAGGTGCACAGAGCCTAGCGTGCACCCTGACTGCGGCTGTGCCCACCTCTGGGGGCTGTGCCCAGACACCCGCCTTCTGGTTGTGTGCAGCCAGTCAATCGAAGCTGGGAAAGTTTCTCCTTTGCATGGATAAATAAGGGCCTGGCAGGACAGGATAGAAATTTACGTCTCCCTCGCATGTCTTCAGGGAAAGGATTAGGTGGATGAAAATAAACACTCAAGAGTCAAGAATGTTTAAGGGAATTCTTTTTTAAAGCTATGTTCCAAGAAAATCATGTTTGAATTATTATTTCTTAAACAAGACCACCAGAGGACAGTGATTTCAAGCAAGGCATTATGTAAGATAAAAAACAAAACAAAACAAAACACACCATTTGAAGATGTTGATAAATGATTACATTTATAATTCTGCTTCGTTCCTCCAGGTCCCACACAATGCTAGTATTTACCACTCTTATTATTGTTTGTTATGGTTTGACCTGGATTTTCAATCTAATAATGCTCCCAGCCAACAAGAGAATTTGATTTCTCAGCTAAGAGCCAAAAACCAAACCAAAACAAAACATTATATTTCCAGTTCCTATAGGCACTAAGAAAAATATATTAAACTAAAATCTCCACATGTTAACCAAGGCTGGCACATATCATGTTGGCAGCCGCCCAAAGATAGATATTTCTCCAACCAGTGACTGAAATATATATATATATATATATATATATATATATATATATATATAGAGAGAGAGAGAGAGAGAGAGAGAGAGAGAGAGAGAGAGACACACAGACATTCAGGCAAGAATAGGAGCCCCGGATGGTGGAGGGAGCCTTTACTGGGATGGTGAGAATGGCCACCAGGGCTCTCCTCTCGGTCAAAGCCACACAGAAAGTCCACTTACCTTTCAGCTGCTCTTCAAAGGGGCCGGGATGGCGAGCAGGGCCCCACAATCCGCCCTTTCCCTGGGCTGCCCACTGAGCGCCTTGACCTCGGCCGGCCTGGAGGACGGCTTGCGGGTGTGGGGGGACCTTGAAGGCCACCACCCCCACCCTGATCTCTAGCCCAGGCCGGAGCCCACAGCACACAGGTGCGGCCTGTGCTTGTCAGGGGCTTTAGCCTGGCCCCCAAGCCCGCCTTCCTTGCCATCGCCAGTCCTCCTCGGGGTCAGCCAGGCGCGCAGGCCTCAGGCCACCAGTGGTCTCTGTGCTCTCAAAATCCCAAAGCGCCGAGCTCCCCAAACCATCGTGCGCCCCCGGGACGCCTCAGGACGCGCAGTTTGGACAGAAGCAGCCATGGCGTGCCAGGCGGCCTGTGCAACCAGTCTCCATGGTGCTGGGGGGAGGGGACCCGAGTCTAGCCGGGCGTCCGGCTCCCGTCAGGTGGCCAGGACGGGGGAGGTTCCCGGCCAGTCAGGCCCTGGGAGACCGCCCCTTAATCCTCCCTCGCCCCCCTCTGCACGGCCCGCCTGGGGATCTCCGAGGGGCCCAGCACTGCTCCGCCGGCTGCAGGCGCGGGGCGGCGGCGCGGTCCCGGCGGCGGCCACAGCGTGGCAGCAGCGAGCCGCCCGGCGGGCGCAATAAATAATGGGCCCGGCAGCCCAGGCCCTGCCATGCAAATGCGCCGCTTTATCCTGCCGACTGCACCCCGAGTGCCCCCACCGTGCCCGCGGGCGCCCCGGGCCTCCGCGGCCCTTCTCCGTTATCTAACGCGCACCAGGGTAGTCCCTTAAGATGGGAAAACACCAATAGCTACACCAAACACAAAAAGAACTCGAGCAGAGGCTCAGGGCGGTCTCTGGTTGCTGCCCCGGGAAGCTCCGGGCAAATCCGGCCAAAAGGCACCCGGACCAAACCGCGATCGGGTCTGTGCACCCGCGCGACGCACGGCGAACCCCGCGGCGCCCTCCGCGCTCCCCCCGGGAGGCTCACAGCGCCCTCCCCGCTCCCCCAAGGTGGGCCCGCGATCGCCGGCCCGGCGGCGCCCAGGTCCGGGGAGTGGGGGCCCCCCTATCGCCCAGACTCGGTTTGCGCCCTCCTTTCAACCACAGCTGAGGGGCCCCTGCCCCTCGCAATCACATCGCTCCGCTGAAACTTCCCGCCAAGCAGCACCCAGACATTAACCCCGTCCTCTCCTCCAGCACAGTCCGCGCCTCTCCCTCTCCCCGCGCTTCTGGCACCTCCTCTCCCATCGGAACCGCGTGGAGGGAAGCCATCCGCCAGCGAGGACTCGGCCGCATTAGTAAGTCGTTTGCTCATCTTCCTCTACCCCCTCCTTCCACCTTCCCCCCACAAACCAAACCCCGGGAGCAGAAGGTGCTGTGCTGATCCTGGACGCCCTCCCGCAGGGGCACCTGGCCCTCATCGCGTCCCACCTCTCCAGGTCGGGAACTGGCCCCAGGCGTTGGGGCATCAACCGAACCAATTGGGTCATGAATGAAAAAAAAGAAAAAAACACACACACATAAACAAACAAACAAACAAACCCGAGAAGAGAAGGGGGGTGGGGGAGCGCAGGGTGCAAGGCCACCTCCTCTGGGGCTGGGCCAGGTCGCTGGGGCAGGGAGGGAGCTGGTGCCAGGGCGCAGTGCCACGGGCGTAAGGCGGGCATCCGCTGCCACCGGGAGCCAGGGGTGTGTGTGTGTGTGTGTGTGTGTGTGTGTGTGTGTGTGGTGAGGGTGGGTGACGGGGAGTCTGCCCATCTCCATAGCCAGCCTGTGTGCCCTCGCCCCGCCGCCCCCGCTGGCTGCCATCTCACCACCTTCGCTCCTGTCTCCCCACAGGTCTCACCTTCAGATGGCGGCTCCCAGAAGCTCCTGCCCCCTGACAGCTGTGGCCGGGGCGGCCCGGGGAGCCGGATCGCCCTCCTGCCCGGGGCCGGCGGACGCGGGAAGTGAGCCGGGCTGGAGCCGCCGAGGCCGCGGCGGCGCCGGGAGCGGGGCGCCCCGCACCGCCGGCGGGGAGGGCCGGCCCGGGGCCTCGCCTGGCTCGCCATAGCCGGACAAAGCCAGCCCAGCCGGCTGCAGGCAGAGCTCCGAAGCAGGCAGGACGGAGCAGAGCGCAAGAATGCAGCTCTATTCTCGCAAGGGAAATTATAAAAAAGTTCATGTTCACGGTTCCCATCCACATGACCGACGACGGCCAATGGAAGGGCCGAACAACTCATAAAGTTGTATTGCAAAGTTGTAAATTTTCATAAACAACAACGGATTTATGACCCTTTCCCCATCTCTGAGAGGAGGCAGCTCTTCCACCGGCGCCATCTTACCGCCGAAGCCGCCCCGACTGGGGGCCGCAGGGTTTGCAGACCCGGTTAGCCGGGTTTATTCAGAAGCAGGAAGAAGGGGCCCAGCCCCGAGCCTGGGGTCAGGTCCTCGCCCACCACCCACCTCCCCACCCACCGCTCACTGCTCCCTGCGGCCCCCACCTCCCTCCCCAGCTCCTCATTCTCTCCGTACCCAGGCGCCCCCGCACCCAGGCGCTCCGCCCAGGCTTGCGGGTCTGCGGGCCCTGCCCCTGCCCCTGCCCCTGCCCCTGCCCCTTCGCAGCCGCACTGCGGGGCTCTGAGCAGCCCTCGCTTAGCCTGAATGCGGGCGGGGACCGGCAGAGGCCCGGAATTCCCCCTCCCAGCCCACAGCCCAGGTTCAGGCTCATGGAGAACTCTCGGATCAGTCGCAGGGTGATACCCCTTTGCAAGCCCACCCCGCAGCCTTAGGGGCAAGGGCGGGTTTTGGATTTTGGATTTTGGCTTCGCTCTTGGAATTTATGAGGGTTTTTAGGAAGGCTCATAGAATAGAATGTACCTACAGAAGATTCCGTTTTCAAGGCATCTGGAAGGTGTTTGTGGGCACACCCACAAGCCAGACAAAAATGTTCCCCCAGAGAAATTCACATATGCAATCCGGGGCACACAGCAACGCATCCACTCAGTTATGGACACAGAAATACACGCAATTATTCACACACACAAACACGCTCACTCAGTTACAGATACATAAACACATACAATTGTGGACATAAAATACACAGAGACAGACACATAAATACATACAATTGTGGACATAAAAATACAGACAGACACAGAAATACATACAATTGTGGACATAAAATACACACAGACAGACACATAAATACATACAATTGTGGACATAAAATACACACAGACACAGAAATACATACAATTGTGGACATAAAATACACATAGGCAGACACAGAAATACATACAATTGTGAACATAAAAATACACACAGACACAGAAATACATACCATTGTGGACATAAAAATACACACAGAGACACGCAGAAATACATATACAAAAAAGCTACACACATACCCACACAAACCCACACAAAAAGGAACTTGACACGCGTACACACCAATTCAGGGACACCCACCCTTGGACCCTGTTTGTTCTTCCACTTTTGCTTCCCTTTGAGCACGCACAGAGCCAGGGCTTGCTCTCTGGTCGGAATGACCCTCCTCCCCAGCCTCCCTCCCCAGATAGAGCAGTCCACACTTCTTTGTCATCAGGCATCTTTATTTTGCTGTTACATAAAACACGGTTAGCTGGGCAAGACGGAGGAAAGCATACCTTCCTGTTCCTGGAACCCGAGGCTCGAGCCGAGAGGGAGGAGGGGGACACAGGACAACACGGGGGTGAAGGGCACCGGGGAGGGCACTGGCTCTCCCCACCTGCTACAGATTAGCTCAAGACAACACGCCATGCTACAAGGTCACCCCGTGAACACATTCTTCCCAAGGCAAGACATCGCCTTACAAATGAGCTCCGAGACCATATAAATGACAACAAAACAATCTTGTTCAAATATACAATATTTGCTATTGTAGGCAGTCAGGGTGTACATGGTCCACACCGCCGGGCAGGAGGACACAGGGGCGGGGAGGCTGGGAGCATCTCTGCAGCCCCAAGCAGCAGCTCACTCAGAAACCTCAGCCAGCTCAGGAATGCTCCCCTCCGGAAGTGGGGGGTGACGGGCCTGAACTTGGAATATCCAGGCCAGAAGAGAGGGATTCTAGGTTGCAGCACTTAAGAATGCTTTGGAATAAATATATTATTTTTCGATTTAAATAGAAGCCAATGCCCTGGTCCCCGGACCCCAGCACCTTCTCCGAACAGCCTCAGGCACCCCAGAGGCTGCCAGCCACAAGCAGCGGGGGGCCTGGCCTGGGAGGGCCGGCATAGGTAGCAGGCGAGCCAGGGAGCACAACATAGGTAGTTTGGGACAATAGGTAGTATTGAGAGTCAGGTCCTTGGCCTAGAGGGAGGTGCTGGGTGTCTGCCAGTGTGGGGACACTCCGGGCTTCCTGGGAGTGGAGGTCCACTGGGCTGGGCCCATAGGTAGTTTGGGGTGCCTCTCTCTGAGGCCTGTGCTAGGTAGTATTTCAGCCATGCCGGCGCAGAGCCAGCCGGCCTAGGGATGGGGGTTGGGGGTGTCTGCTGGGGGGGCCTCTGAGGCAGAGGGGAACCCCCCAAAGGGACCCAGTCTAGGCAGCTGCTGTCCAAACAAGTTGGGAATTGGAGTGGATAATGGGGTAGGTGGGGGACTGGGTGGGTTTTTTTTTTAACATTTTCTTTTTATTTTTCAACTTTTGTAAATAAAACCGACGAGTCTCTAAAGACACTTTCTGGACTGTCTGGTGCAGCCCAGGGCCCTGCTGGGCCCCTCACTCCTCCTCCTCTTCATCCTCCTCTTCCTCCTCTTCCTCCTCTTCAGCCTTGTCCGCCGCGGCGGCCGTGGCTGCTGCCTCGGGCACGGGCCCCTCGGGGGCCGTGGCCGCCGCCGGCCCCTCGTCCTTGTGCTCCTTCTTCCACTTCATGCGGCGGTTCTGGAACCAGATCTTGATCTGGCGCTCGGTGAGGCAGAGCGCGTGGGCGATCTCGATGCGGCGGCGGCGGGTCAGGTAGCGGTTGAAGTGGAACTCCTTCTCCAGCTCCAGCGTCTGGTAGCGCGTGTAGGTCTGGCGGCCCCGCTTCCTGTCAGGCCCTGCAGGCAGGCACACGGACACACGGACACACGGACAGACAAGCGGAGGGGACCACAGTCAGGACAGTGCGTTCATCGGGCCCAGGGCCGGCTCCCCTCCGCCCTGCGCCCCGCTCGGAGCTGGGGGAGGAGCGGGACGGGCAGGGGAGCCCCCCACCGCCCTGCCAGACGCGCAGGCAGCTCCCCAGCAGCTCCCCGAGGAGGGAAGGCGCAGGGTCCCAACTTTACAGCCGCGCTTTCCAGCCGGCTAGGCTCCCACAATGTCCCGCTTCCCCCTGACAAAGGGAAATTGTAAATATAGAGTGCGGGCAAGGGGGAGACGCCCCGCTTTGACCATTCAAAGACCAGCGGGGCCGCTCCCCCGGCTGGCTGGCTAGCTGGCTGGCCAGGCCGGTAGGCGACCCCAGGCAGCCCACCCTCCAAGGTCCCCCCTCGTCCCCAGCAGCCCGCGCCCCCACCCCGGGACCTTCCTAGGTCACTCCGACCCTCCGTCCCTGCTCCAGCCTCCAGCCCAGCCTTACACGGGCCCCGGGCGCGGGGGGCTGGCGCGGGCCCTGGAGGGTGAGGCTCCCCCAGGTTTTGAGAAAGAAAAACCAGGCTGAAAGGAAGAGGCGGAGGGAGGGAGGGAGAGAGAGAAGGGCAAGGGAGGGAGAAAGAGAGAGAGGACAGCGCACAAACAAACTTCACGTTAAAATTCCGAGGCAAAGGGAGTTAAATAAATTTACGAGGATTGAACCCATTAATCGGGCCATAAAAAGTTTTATGAGCCTCATTTACATACAATGCTGCGGGTTCTCCACGCTATGGCGCCTCGACTCTAATTAAAACCAGAAAGGCTGCGCCGCCAGCAGTCAAGGGGCCTCCGCCCGCCCGCAGCCGCCAGCCCCGGGCCCCGATCGCCCCGGCCCCGCGCCCCCGGCTCCCGGCTCCCAGCCCCGATCGCGCCCGGTTCCCGGTTCCCGGCCCCGGCCCCGGCCCCGGCTCACCTGAGGACCGCATCCACGGGTAGATGCGGAGACTGGCCTCGGCCGCGCCGTCGTCCGGCTTGTCGCAGGCGCCTTTGGCGAGGTCGCCGCCGCAGAGCGCCGGGAGGCCCTGGTCGAAGGGGGCGCAGGGCAGGTTGCCGTAGGCGTCGGCGCCCAGGCCGTAGCCGGCCGCGAAGGGGCCCTGGTACAGGGGGCCGCCCACGTTGTACACGCCGGGCACCCCGGCCGCGAAGCCGCCCGCGCCCGCGCCGTAGCCGCTGCGCTGCGAGCTGGGCGCGAAGGAGCAGGACGTGGGCTCGGCATTTTGGAAGAGAGACGCCCCCGCCGTGTATTTGCTAAAGAGCGCGTTCACATAGTACGAGGAACTCATAATTTTGACCTGTGATTTGTTGTCCGGCAGCTTTCGGTGTCGGTTTTACGAGGTAGCGTGATATATGATAACATTACACCCCCAGATTTACACCAAACCCCATTTTCTTCGGGACGGAGCGCGCCGCGGCACGTGACCGCCCACATGACCGCCTCCGCCAATCTGGGCCGCGCTCACAGGTGGGCCGCTCGGCGGGGCCGGCGCCGGGCTGGAGGGGAGAGGGCTCCGGCGGGCGGCCGGCCGGCGCGCCCCGCGGGGAGGGGACCCCGGGCTCCGCGGGGCCCTCCCGACCGCCGCCAGCCCGGGCGCCCGGCCTGCAGGGGCTGCGCGGGGCCGACAGGGCGCGATCGAACCCTGGACCGAGCCTGCGGGTCCTTCTCTGCCCACCGGCCCCGTCCAGGGAGGGTCTCTGCGCCCCGCGCACCCCCAGAGTGGCCCCGCGGGCAAGTCTCTGCTTTGGGTAAATGGACTCTTGGCCCGCGTCCCCTCCCGCCCAGGTCCCTCGTGGGGCTGAGTGCCAGTCTGATGGCCTGGCTTAGACTCCGACTCAGAAGGCAGCGAGAAGGCCACTGCGAACTGGGACCATGTGGTTCGAATAAAGTCAAGGTCTCCCGCTTCCTTTCCTTAACTAGGGCGCGCTGGCCATCCGCTCCAAAGGAAGCGTTTGCCTATTAATGAGCCTCGTTTGCCAACAGATTTACTAACGTGGGCTCCCTTCCCTCCTCCTGGACACCGCCGGCCCCGCAGGCTCGGTGCCTTCGCTCTCGGGCACCTGCCTGACCTCTGGCAGCCCCAGAAACGGTTGGACATCCTTTTGTCCCCCCAGCAACCCTGGATTCCCTCAGGCTGCGGGGGAACCAAGTCTCCCCCAGGCCCTGCAGCTTTCTGGGTACCACTTGTACCCTGAGGTTTCCGGGAGCCTGCCCTGTGGCCCCCCCTGGGCATCTCCCGCGGGGCGCAGGGACCCTCCCTGCGTGCCTGGCAGCAATAGATGCTGTAGCGCCAGTTTGGGGAGCAGAGAGGGAGGCCCGAGCACCTCCTTTTCTTTTGGAGACCCCTCCCCGAGGCCCCCCAGCTCCGGCTGCTTCCCCTTTCCAAAGATCAGCTCCCCGAGGGTGGAGTGCACAGGAGTCTCTCTGCCGCCCAGGCCCGGGGCTTACCTTCCCGAGCCTCCAGCCCCCCGGGCAGGGTTGGGACAGCCAAAGTCCCCAACGCTCTCCTCTCCTGTGAGGGTGATGGGGCGAAGCCTTCCCCCTAAACGCTCGTAAACTGCGGGGCCGGGCTGGAAGCCTGGCCGCCAGGTCAGAGCGCCTTTTACTGCTCAGCTCTATTGCACACCATAAACCCGACCTCACAATGGGACTGCCCCGGAAACTCTCCTCTAAATTATAGAGTTTGGTTCTCCTCATACAAAGCGCTTCCCATCACGTTCTGAGGGTCCAGGCCGCCCCCGTTCACCACACCCACTCAGGGGGTCCCCGGAGCACAAAGGGCGGCGGAGGGTTCAGACCCCGATGCGGAGGAGTGCTCTGGCCTAGCGGATGGCCGGCTGCGGTGGGGAGGCAGGGGCTGTAGGTGCGGGTGGGGTCCGGGTGGTGTTCCCTGGGGGTACAGGGACCATGGGGACAACATCCAGGATACCCTTTATGGCAGAAGAGGATGCTGGCTGTCTTGCTTGGGGAATGGAGGGGATGCGCCAGGAAGGGTAGAAAACACACACAAATACTCCAAACAGCATCCATTTCTGGCAGGAAATAAAATTTCAGCGAGTTAAGGGAAGATGGGACCGACAAGAAGGGGGCTAGGAGATCAAAGAGGAGGAATCAGACTGCGTTAGACCAATAAATTGTTCCTCCAGCGACACCGCAAGATGCGAGGAGAAAGACCCGGCTGGCCGACGGCTGTCTGTCTAGACGCGGGTTGGCTGAAGCAGCGATGGCTTCCAAGAAGAACCTGCCCAGAGGGAGCTGACCAGCCCACAGAGCGGGGAGCCATTGGGGAATGCGGGCGGGATAGGGGAGCCATTGGGGGGTGCGAGCGGGATCACCGCCCTGGCTCATCTCTGCCCGCGTTTGTCTCGGGCAGGTCCACACGGTCCTGGCAGGACACGCTGCCCCTGCGCCTGGGCCAGGGAGGATCCGGATACTTTTCCGCAAGGCCCCGGCCTCTCTTGACCCCTGTCAGCCCACCCGGCCAAGTCCCGCGGGCGCTGGGCCCTCCCTTTCGTTTCTGGCTTCTCTCTCCGCCGGCCTTCAGCGACAGCTTTAAAACGAAAAGGCCAGGCAGAGCCGGGCTGTCCGTAAGGCCTCCGTAGCCACGGGTTCCGGAGCCACTGCTTTCCCACATGTTTGGCTGAAAAGACCCCATTGCCCTGGGTTATCCGTGATCACAGTCACAGAAACAGTCCGCAAGGCGCCCGGGTTCTGGCCACCGGCTATCGGCTATCCTGGGCCTCGGCCGCCTCGGCCGGGCCCCTGTGTGCCAAGCTATCTGTGTTTCCCCTACTTCTTATTAGCAGACTGTCCCCAACATTTAAATGCAGCTGAGAATGTGAACCCCGATCTCGGGCTGCGGATGGAGCCTCCAGAACCCTGCAGCTTTCCTAAAGAAACTGCGACTGCGGCTTCTATCCGAGCCCCTACAGTGACCTGGGCACCGGCTCTCCATCCAGTAAGCAGCCCCCTAGTCGTGGCAGGGGGACAAGTCATCCCGGAGAAGTGCCAGGAGCTGGGGCTGCCAGGGGATCTCCTCCAGGCAGCAGGGGGATGGGGGGGGGGAGCCAGTCCTGGGCAGGGCAGCCGAGCTGGGAGAGCCACTGCCCAGCCACCACCCGCAGGCCAAGGGCAACCGAGATCTCTTCCGTCCGGCAATCCAGGAGCCTCTGAGACACCCGGCCTGCCCCTACCTGGGCTCCGGGACCTGGGGAGAGAAGCAGTGGCCACCTACCCGCTCCTTTGCCATTTATTGGTAGCGACATAAACCGGCCTTTCCATCCGCTGCTGGGATGCCGGGCCAGGGACAGCTCTTGGGAAGTTATAAAACCCTCCTCGCAATCAGCTGCCGAGAAACACCGGGTTATGTGATGAAATGTAATGAAGGCGTGTGTCTGCGATGCCAACGTGTGTATGGAGACGGAGAGGGAGAAACACCCGCGGGAGATGTCAGCCAAAACCCATCCCCGCTTTAGCTTTACAGCGTGTGCAGCGGAGGCGCAGGCTGTGAACGGTTTGTGGGCTTGGCAGAGACGGTTACAATCCAAATAAATGCGCCGCCGGCCGCCGGGTCCACAGGCTGGGGTGCTTTTTGCCGAGATCCTGTTTGCTTTTGCCTTTTCTCTGGAAAACCGTTTTTTTGCACCCCGGGCGGATCCGCCCTCTCCGGGAGCCTCCTGGAAGGTTCTCCCTTCTCCCCGCAGGGTGGGGGGCAGGGTGGGCCTGGTGGGGTCCCCTCCCTCCTCCTGGCTCCTGAGCAGAGGCTGCCAGAGAAGCCTCAGTCTCTCCACTGCCCGGGAAATCCAGCGGCGAAGGGAAGCGGGAGCGGCTTTGGCGACGGGAGCGCCTATTCGGAAACTAGGATGTTACTTATTAGAATAATTATTTTAATTATTTTAAACACGACCTTTATTTTAGAATAACCAAAGCAGCACCTGGTCTGTCCCCAAGGGTGCCCATTCGTAGGCGACTCGGCCGCCCGCCCTACACTAGACCTCACCCAGTATCTCTGTACCCCCATTTCCAGCCGCTTCACTTCATTGTCGCGTGTTCAAGGCGGCCGAGGGCCCGGGTTCTGGCTCACCCGCGGGTGCTGGCTCCTCGGACCTTTGCCAGGGCGCAGCCTCTAGGGGTCTCCGGGCCCCAGCACCTTTGGCTCGGTTGCACTCTGCACACCCTCTGGGGGGTCACCAGGTCCAGGGGGGCTGCAGGCCGTTAGTCCCGGTGTCTGTCCGCCGGTCAGCCGGGTTCTCCGGGCGCGCGCTGCACCCAGGCGGGGCCGGGGCCGGGGACCGTGACCCCAGGAGGGTCCCCGCGCCCCGGGAGCCGCAGCCCTGCAGGGCCGGGCCGCGCCGCGCCGCTCGCTGGATTCCCCGGGAGGCGTCCATCCTGGGGGGAGCAGGACGGGAGAAGACACGGCCGCCGTGCACGCAGACCTGGGGCTCCCGCTGCAGAAAGGCTCGCGTCAAGTCGACATCTTAGGAAGTTCCCGGCGGCGGCGGCGGGAGATGGCGGCGCGGGCGCCTCTTGCGTGGAGTCACACTGCCATCTGCTGGCCGCCCCGCGGCACTGCAGCCTCGCCGCCGCGCTGAACTTCGCAGGCCCCGCGGGGGCCGGGCGCCCCACTCCCGGGGCCCGCGAGGCCGGGGCGCCGGGGGAACGGGGTTTTGGGGGAAGGGGGGGGGGGTATCTGCGTGGGTCCGGAATCTGCGCTGCCGAGAGGGCAGCGCCCATAAAAGAGGGCTGTTTCCGCACCCGCTTTATCGGCGGCAGACAGAGCACACAAATGAAAGGGCTTTGGTGGAAAATCCTAATTGGGGCTGGACAGTTGTAAACTCATTAAGGGCCGAATTCCAGACGGCTCGCAGACCCGGCCTTTATGGCGCGCCCTGCGTGCCCGTTCTTTGAAGTCCCTTCCGTCTGCAACAACACAGGGCGTCCAACCTGGCGGCGGGGTGGGGGTGGGGGTGTGAGGGGCGCCCCGTCCCCGGCGCCCCGTTCCCCTTTGTCCGTGTCCGAATCCAGATCCCTTTGCAGAAGTCGCGGGGGATGCGCGGGGGAGGCGGGCAAGAAAAGGGGGAGACGAGGCCGAACCCTCCGGTCGCATCTAGAAGGCGCTCGGGCTCCTTGGCTGGGTCGTCCCCCGCAGCCCTTTACACCCCATAAACAGTAACAGCCCTCATTTTCTTTTATGGCGCTCCGGCTCCTCGCTCGCCTGGGCCCTGCCTCTGCCAGGACTTGTGCTCGGGGAGGGGCGCGCGAAATAGGCCCAGCCTGACCCTGGGCCAGCCCGACAGAACGTGGGGGTGCAGGGGCGCAGGCCTTCAGTCCCCGAGAGCTGGTGAGCTCCCAAACATCTGTCCCGAAGCCACGTTGTTGGGGGGTCGGGCTCCCGGTAACCTTTTCGGAGACTCTTTAGAAAGCAGGCCCAAGCAGGCCCTTAGCTCATGATCCCACTGCTCCCCCTCTCCCTCCCTCTGCGTCCTCCACCCCCCAAGGCCCAGCAGTCTCTGTTTGGGCAATTTTTGGGGAGCCAAGAGAAGAGTGGTGCTGCCCAGCCACACCCCAGATACCAGCCCAGTTCCTCAGAGGCCTCCTGGCCTTCAGGAAAACGGACACAAAGTGGGGGACCCGGCCTCGCTGCCCCGTGCTCCCCAGCTTTCCTCCACCTTCCTCCACTCAGCTCTCCGTGCTGCTGAGCAGCCGGCCTGTGCAAGCCCCCGAGGCCAGCCGGTGGCTCCTGCCTTAGGTTCCAGCCCCCAAAGCCCCGAAAAATGAGGTTCTGTCCTCTTGCACCCCGCAGGGCCCCTCCCGGAGACTGTCCAGGCCCCCTGCCCCAGGAGAAGATGCAAAGAGCTGACCCGCAAAAATAAAATAAAATAAAAATCAACAATATATTTTATTTGGCAAAAAGTTAAATATCTCAACACAACAATTTGGTCAGTAGGCCTCGAGGTAACTATTGCAAAATATACAGTGTATGCTCAGCCCCACGGAAATCCCAGATTCATCAGGAATACAAATTTACCGCAGCCCAGTGGCAGTTTCACAATGCATAATTTATTATCAATAAAATTAGCTCCATTACAGTATCATTTCCCCCCAGTTAAAATTAAACATAAACCATAGGTAGTAACCTTCTGCAGTACATATAGCTCCGAATCTCTTCCCTGTTTGTCTGGCGCAAACACAGTATTCAAGCTGGTCTGATCGCTTTTTCTCTCACACGAGGATTATATACAATGGACCAGACACGTCGATAGAGCACGTAAAATTAAAATGCCTGATTTTCAAAAGGGAGAAAATCGTGAATCTATGCATCCCAGAGACCCTTTCTTTAACAACAACAACAAAAAAAAAATTATTTCACTGAGAAATCCTTACAGCTAATTTACAATCAAAGGTTAACAGCCTAGTTATACAGAAGACATATCCCACTACAGAGCTATACTCTATGCAATTGTCTCCCCCTCATAAACAACCTGAGTTCAAATTGAATCCTAGCTTTCACAATCACGACGGGTGCGTCACCCAGCACAGAAGTTTGAGTCACACAAGAAAACATAATCACCACAATAAAACACAGTGTTCAAGTATCTGGGCAGATCGCTCTGCCGAACAAAGAGAAAATTAAATTAACTACACAGACTACAATCTAGACAGCCCGCAGCCAACAGTTGTGCATTATAAAAAAGGTAGTTTTTTTTTTGTTTGTTTGTTTAAGTCAGGAACAGGTAGATTTTATAAAATATATACAAGCTCGCGTACACACACACAGCCATCAGCGCTAATGCTGCATTCTTCCCCCTCCTTCTCTTCTTCTTCTTCTTCTTCTTCTTCTTCTTCTTCTTCTCCTCCTCCTCCTCCTCCTCCTCCTCCTCTTCCTCCTCCTCTTTTTCTTTTTATTTATTTGTTTGTCTTAACAGAAAACGGGAAGCTTACAATGCCTCCTCCAGGAAAGCGGCAGGCCAAGGAGCCAGCCTGAGAAAGGTTTGCCGGGGGAGAGACGAGGGCTGGAGTTTGGCCCCTTTGTGCGGGGTGCTGGAGGCTTGGGGGTGGGGGTGGGGGAAAGGGGACAGGCGGTCCTTTCTCTTGTCCTCTCGCTCCATCTGTTTTCAAAATGAACTCAAAGTGGCATCACTCGTCTTTTGCACGGTCCTTGTTGATCTTCTTCATTTTCATCCTGCGGTTCTGGAACCAAATCTTGACCTGCCTTTCAGTCAAGTTGAGCAGCCGGGCCACCTCGTACCTGCGGTCCCTGGTGAGGTACATGTTGAACAGAAACTCCTTCTCCAGCTCCAGCGTCTGGTGCTTGGTGTAGGGGCAGCGCTTCTTCCGCGTGGAGCGCGCGTGGAGCCAGTTGGCAGCCGGGTTGCCTGGGGAGGTTGGGGGGGGGCGGAGAGAAATGGGATTTAGAAGGAGGAGAAGCACACCCCCACCTGGGCTGGGGGCTGGGGGATCTCGGGGCCTGGGGCTGCTGCTGAGTTGGTTGGGGACGGAGGCGGCAGAGCCTGGGACACAATGGACCCTGGCAGACAGACACCGGACGGTCACTTACAATCCTGCGCAGTAAAACCTCCGCTCCCTCCCCTCCGAGGCCCTCCTTTCTCCTCCTCCTCCTCCTCGATGCTCCCGCTCTGTCCTCTCCCCACTCACCTCCCGCACAGTGTGTGTGAGAACTGAAATGTGAAAATAGATCTCCTTGCCGGGCAGGGGAAGCCGCGCCGCCCTGCATTCGTGTAGCAAGACTCATATTCTTGGCTCCCTGGAAATAACGCTGTGTGCTCCCTTCCCCTCCTCTCCTTCCACTCCCACGCCTTGCAGACCTTCCTGGAGGGCCTGGGGCAGGCAGGCCCCGGCAGCATTCGGCCCCTGGACGCCCTAAGGCCGGCGATCGCTCCCCCAGTTTGTTAGAATAATCTGGCCCGGACCCTCCTGGCCCGCTAGCTTGCAGCCTCGTCTCGGGCAGGATTTACACCGCCAGCGGCAGAAGACAAGACGTGGAGGGAACCGGCCGCCTCCCCCGGCCTCCCGGCGGCTACAGGCAGCCACCGCTCCGGGTGATTTGGTCACAAAAGACTCTGCTTGGACGCTGCTTTCGAAGAACAACGGCCCAAAGGATCTCGGTCCTGGTCCGGGGCAGCAGCGAGAGGGCAGCCGGCCTGGGCTCGGCCGCAGCACCCGCCCCGCCCCCTCTGTGGGCAGCAGCCACTCCTCCCCCAGCCCGGCGGGCCGCTCGGCCCAGGGCTGTGGACTTGGGGCCTCCGTCCGTCCGAGGAGGCATCCGTCCCAAACAGCGGCTTCTGGCTCCGGGCCTCCGCTCGGGAGGCTCCCGGGCGTGCCAAGGCGGGCTCCAGAGACAGCTGGCGGGCTGGCAGATCCGGGAGGCCAGCGTGGAGGCGGCGGCGGCGGCGGCGGCCCGTTTTGGAGGGAGGAGACACTTACTGGGGTCGATGGGGGGCTTGTCTCCGCCGCTCTCACTCTCGGCATTGCTTTCGGAGAAGGCGCCTTCGCCGCCACAGGGCTGTTTTTCTCTATCAACTGGAGGAGAACCACAAGCATAGTCAGTGAGGGACAGAGTGTGCGTGTCAAGCGTGGGACAGTCAGCCCTCCGGGCCTGCGGCGGCGGTTCAGGTTTAACGCCGTAAGGCCGGCTGGAGGGCAAGCCCGCGAAGGAGAGCGCGCCGGGCGCGGGCTCCAGCCAGGAGCGCATGTACCTGCCATCCGGCGCCGCCGCCGCTGCCACGGGCGCCTGGGGGTGCCCATAGGGGTGGTGGTGGTGGTGGTGGTGGTGGTAGACGGCGGGCACCGGGGGCACGGCGGGGGCGCCCGCGGCGGCGGGCACCGGGTTCCAGGAGGCCCCGAACACCGCCGCCTTGGGCTGGAAGCTGCAGGGGCTGAAGTCGGGGTGCTCGGCCAGGGCGGCCGCCGGCCGGGGGGGCTGGCCCAGGGCCCCCGCGGCGTAGCGGCCCGCGGCGCCCAGCTCGTCCGCGGCGTCGGCGGCGGCGCCCAGCAGGAAGGAGTCCACGTAGTAGCTGCCCAGGGCGCCCGTGGTGGCCATCGCCGCCCGCCCGGCCGCCCGGCCCGCGGAAATTAGGAAAGTGCGGGGTTCATGCCACAACTTGGCGGCGCGGGGAGGGGCGCCCCGGCACCTAATAAGCGCGGCGGCCGCGCCCCCATTGGCCGCGCGCGTCACGTGGCCGCGGGCAGAACAATAACGCGTAAATCACTCCGCACGCCGGCCGGCCGCCGCGCTGCCGGCATAATTTTTTATGGCGAGAGCCATATGTTTTTTATGCAGAGGGATCCGCCGCGGCGCTCCGCGATCAGGTTTGTTTTAATGGTGGCCAACGAAGATGAAAAGATCAAATCTGGCCTGGCCCCCGGACAGCCCCCCCCCGCCCGCCCCTCCGCCCCTCCGCGCCGCCACCGCCACCGCCACCGCCACCGCCAGGCACACGGACTATTTTATATCACAATTAATCACGCCATCGGCGAGGCGCGGGGCCGGCGGAGCCCCTCACATAAAATTAGACAATAATGGGAGCCGTAAAGAAGGCAGCCAAATCGCATTCTCGCTCCACTGTATTTAAATCTGTATTTATATTGCGGGAGGAGTTATTGTGTCGGGAGCCACGCGGGCCGTGGGGGAAGTTGGGAACGACCCGCGGATCCGTTTACCTCGCCGCGGCTCCCAGTTGTAAAAATTTACGAGGACCTGGGAAGGGTAAAGTAGACCGTGGTGTTGGGTCGGCGGGCTCCCCGTAAATAGTCCCCCCGCGGTCCCCGGAGAGGCGAGTGTACCCGGGCGGCAACGAAAGTCAAATTCAACGCGGCCGCCTTCCCAGACGGAGCCGCCCGGCCCTGCCTATGGGGGACACAGCCTATGGGGGGCCCTGGGATCGGCCTGCCCAGATCGCAGGGTGTCGGGCAGCTCCCCCACGGACCGCTGAGCCTCCGGCGAGCCTCCTACCGCGGAGCAGCCGGCCAGCCCGACCCAGGGTTTGGGGGCCGGGTTAGCCCATGCGGTCCACCATCCCCTTTCCCCCTTGGACAGGGCTGGCACCCCAGCCCCTGCTCCGATCTCCTCCGAGGCCCGAATGCTGAGTTCTGCTACTCGCACTCCCCTAACCCGAGCTGCAAAAATGAAATAAAATAAAATAAATAAAACCCCTAGGAAGCAGCATCAGTAACAGGAGAATTCGGCCTAAGCGACCTGGGCAGCTCAGAAGCCAGGAGGCCCGCTCTGGAGAGGCTGGTCTCAGGGCCCAGTAGGAAGGCTTTGGGTCCCCTTCCTTCCTTCCCTTCCTCCCTCCCTCCCTCCTTCCTTCCTTCCTTCCTTCCTTCCTTCCTTCCTTCCTTCCTTCCTTCCTTCCTGGCCACTGTCCCTTGGCGACCGCCTGGCTAACCCACGGCTCATCGGAGTTCCTGAGGCGGCCAGAGCTCAAGTCCAGGGCCAGAACTGAACCGGGAGGGGCACGGGCATTGACTTTAATCCCATCCCTCAGCTTGACCAAATGGAGAGGTGCTCCCCCCCCCCTCAGATCCTTTCAGGGGTAAATTAAACGGCCTCGGCCTCTTTGTTAATTGGAAGGAAGGAAAAAACCCACCAAATACAAACGGAAAGCAGCGACTCCTAAAAACGGAGTAATTAAATTCACGTGTGAACACTGTGCCTGCACGAGTGTGTTTCTCATTAGCCCACTTCCCTGGCGCAAGGGCGGCGGACTGGGCTGCTTCCATCTCTTGTGTTTTTGCCTTCATCCTCCCCAACAGCCCCAGCAACCCCTCCCCAAACCCGCATACACCCCTATCCCCAACAGTGGGCACCCCCAAAGGCCAGGCTCTCCCCCAGCTGAAAAGCCACAGGGAGACCAACCCGGTCCCTGGCCACCGGAAGAAGGAAGGAAGGGGGAAGTGACCAACACAATAAATTCCTACCGCTGGCCAGGCGGTCCTGGCCACCTCAGTTCCCTCTTCCACTAATATTTGTCCTTTGCTTATAAAGTCCTCCGCGCCATTCCCATCCCCTCCACAGCCCAAGGTGCCCCCAAGATCCCTCAGATTTTCATTAAGAAAATTAATTTGGGGAACCTCTCAGATTTTCATTAAGAAAATTAACTCAGAGGAAACCTTCGCTCCTAATTGTAATTGTCCGCAAACCGGCTGCCTTTCCCACTTTTTGTACCCAAAGAAGACACGAATTATTTCTAGTATTTTAAATAGAAAGACTATCCTATAAATAGCTTTAGCCCCCCAAAATAGGACAGCTACTAAGAAATTAGCAGGGCTTGCGTGTTAAATAATCCTCACTGGTGCCTAAAATGGGGTGAGGGGAGCCCCAAACCAAAAGTATCCCTCTTCAGCCCAGAGGTTTAAGGAGAGACCCTTCGGGTTTTTGTGTCTGCTTTTATTTTGGAAGGAAAAGGGATTGTGTGAGCATAAAGAAAGAATAAATGAAAGTGGTTAGAAACTGTCTCTTTTTGCCCAGAGTTCTAAAACCTTGGCCTCCAAAACAAGCCCAATACTGGGGTCCTGAAAATGGCAGAGAGGGGTTGAGGGTACCACCGTGTGGGCCTTTTGGATAACAGGACCCGGGACCCGGGGCTAAGCATTAAAAACAGTTCCTGGACTGGGGCTAAGCAGTGAAAACAGTTCCTGGGCCCAAAGCTGAGCAGTCCTGCTGGGAAGAAACAGCCTGAAGGCCCCACTTGCGGTGCCAGTGGGGACTGGGGAGGGATGGAGGGTGTTTTCAGCTCCCAGTAAACATGAGACTCCTCCGCCTGGCTTCCAGTACCGCGTGGAATAGGGACTCAACTTTGTATCCCAATGGTTCCGGGATTTAGAATTCCTGTCCCCAGTTATTTGAAACACGGTTGCGAGAAGGGTCCCCTTCTCCAGCAGTCTTCCGCACAAGGATGCCATATCCAACATGCCCTAACTCTGAACCGGATAGAAGCTCCTGGCAGGCAAGCAGCCTATCTTTGCCCTGGCGCGGCCCCCTTATCGCGGTTAAAGCCGGAGCTGAGACCTACGGGGCCCCAGAGCCTAGGAAGCTTCGGGAAAGTGCCTTCCAAGAGCCTGACTGAGTCTCAGCCCAGTCCCGGCTTCAGGCCTCCAATGAAGCTGGCGAAGGCGTCCTTGCAAAAACCCGGGGAGCCGGGAGTGCTCCGCAGTCGGATCTCGGGGCTGCTGCTGACCGGCGGAGCAGGAACGCAAGGCCGCCGCCATCCGGTCGTGATCGTAACCGAGGCCGTGTCTGCGCACCATTCCCTGTCACAGCGCGATCTCTACTTGAGTGCACAGAGAAGAAAAAATAAAAATAAAAAGACAGCCGCCACCCTGGCTCTTCCCAAGCCAGCCAGAGGTCCCTCCAGAAGGAAGGGCTGGGGAGCAGAGGAAATGGAGATAGGGAGGGAAATGGACACAGAGAGATCAAAGAAAATAAACAAAGCTGAAGGAAAGAAGGGAAGAAGTAAAGAAAAAAGAAAGAGGGGAGAGGGAAGGAAAGAAAGAAGGAAGAAAGGAGTCAAAGGCGACTGCTGGGAGCGGAGAGCGGCTCGCAGAGAGAAGGGTAAGTGACAAGGCCAGGATCCAGCCTGACTGCCTCGGTCCTCCTAGCTCGCCCGGGGCCTTCACCGGCCAAGGGGTCTTGTCTTATCTCCCGCCCTGGGTTGGGGCTGGGGCTGCCCTGGCTTTGCGGGAGAATGGCGGGTCCCGGCGGCTCGGCTGGCAGTGTGCGCCCCTGACCTTGAATGGCCCCGGGCCCAGAATTCCTACCACGCCCCCGGCGCCCGCTGCGGCCCCGCCGACCTGGCCGTACCTGCGGGGCCGGCGGAGCCGGGGTGAGGCCAGCAGCCCGGCAGAGCCCTGCGAGGGAAGCAGGGACGAGGCTCTTGCGCGGGGAGAGCCGAGGTTGCCACCGCGGGCCTGGCACGACCGACCGGAGCCCCGACGCCCCGCCCGGCCCGGCTCGGCCCGGCCCGGCCTCCGCGCGCACAGGTACCTGGAGACGATTTCAACTGAAGTAATGAAGGCAGTGTCATGCTGTCGAGAGAAAGGTGGATCCCAACAACAGGAAACTACCTAAATCACCGACCAGTTCTGTGCTCGCCCGCCGCCGCCGCCAACGCCGCCGCCGCCGCTGCAGCCGCCGCCGAGGGAGAGCCCGCGATCGCCGCCGGCCCCTCGCCAACCTGCCCGCCGCCGCCCGCGCCCGGGCCGCCGCCAGGGCATCGGGGAGGGAGAAGCCAGGCCCGGGAAGGGAAACCTCGGGAGGGAGGGAAGGAAGTCAGAGAGAGAGAGAAACGGAGAAGGAGGGAGGAAGCGAAGAGAGAGAGCGAGGGCGGGCGCGCCGGCTTCCCCGATCCTGCAGCCCAGCGAGCGGGCGCCGGGCGGCGGCCCGGGAGCCTCGGAGCTGGGGACAGCCGGCCCGGCGCCCTGTCTGCTCCGGCCTCCCGCTCGCTCCCCGCCGCTCGCTCTCCCCCCTCTCCCTCCCCACCCGGCAGCCAGCCGGCCGCGCGCTCCCGCGCCCCCTCCCCCCGCCGCCGCCCCCACCTCCCGCGCGCAGGAAACGCGTGGCCCCGCGGAGGGCGCCCAGGTGGGGGAGGCTGAGCTGGGGGAGGGGGTCCGGGCAGCCCAGCCGGCCGGTCTGCCTGATCGCTGCCTCCTCGGACGCTAGTGAGGCGCTGTGGGCCCGGCCTGCTCCCGGGATTCCTAGCCTGGGGGGTCATCGAGGACCAGGGGGACCCACAAAATAGCCAGCCTTGGCGAGCCTCCCCGGGGCTCCCGAAAGAAATCCTGTTCGGCTTCCTGTGTCCATGAAGCTCCCCTCTCAACTGAAACCACCGGTCCAAGACAGCCACAATCCAGATATACTAGCAAGTCATAAAACTGAACAAAAGCCGACAAACCTTACGGCACCAGGGCTATAGGGCCCAGACAAATTACGACCGTCTAGGTAATATTTAAATAGATGCCTAACGTAATTGCAGGGGGCGCGGGCTAGTCCTCCTGTTGTAAAAGTGGTGGACGGGATAAAGTGGAAGGGGGAGATAAGAAGTCCAAAAAAAAAAAAAAAAGGTAAAATTAAAAAGCTTCATTCCACAGCTTTTATTCTTCTATAAGAACATAAACATCATCTTTTTTTTCCACGCACAGCAGCATTACAATATTAATTTATTCTGATTTTAAGATTAGAAGTAAATAGAGCTAGAACTAACATTTATAATAATGATAGAATGCATTTGCATAAAACAAGATTGGCAATTTTTCATAATAATAGACATTTATACAGATTTGCATTTATAGTTTTTTTTTCTTTTTCTGCACCTACAGGTTTGACCCTTTTATGCATGTAACTTCACAGTATAAAGGAAACCAAACAACGTCTCCCTTCTCTAATCTATTCCGCTTGCCCCAGCCCTCCTGGCTTCCATGAATTTTGGAAAGAAAAAAAAAAAAAGGAAAAAAAAGGGGGGAGGGGAACTAACCTCCACCAGATAGGGAGAGTTGTGGTGTGCTTGTCTTGTGTTACCAGTGGTAACGATTACTTTATGACAAAAATCCACTAAATCCACATGTATAAACAGAACTGCGTCAGATTATTTATCTACAGCCAGAGGATATGGACATTCAGAGGAGAGGGGAAATAATTGAGTCCCACAATGCAAGACCTTACACAAACTGGAAGAGGAGTTTCCTTATCCTGGTCTTATTTATTTCTTTTTTCTTTTTTCTTTCTTTCTTTTTAAGCTTGGCTATCTTACCGAGGAAGGAAAATGCCATCTTTCTGACTCCCTCGATGTTCCAAATCAGCCACAGTCAAGCCCCTTTGTCAACCTGTATGCCCATGCCCACAAGCCCTTCTCTTTGCCAAGGAAGAAAGGAAGAAAGAAAAAAGAGACCCAGGGCCTGTACCCCCTGATTACACACAGCCCCACACTCAGGCCAGGCAGCCCGCTGGTGGCTCCTGGCACCATTGACCTCGGGCCAGCCACCTCAGCGGGACAAGGGGGACGGGGCCTTCGGGCGGGCTGGCCCGGCCCCCCGCAGGAAAGGAAACTGGCTCTCCGGAGCGCAGGGGCCATTTTGAGCTCTGGAACGATCCAGATGCCAAACCATCCCAGTCCACTTGACACTCAGGACAATCTTTATCTACATAGAATTTTAGAGCGATATGGCTTTTCCCCCAGAACACAACAGCAGCAGCAACAACAAAAGATCAGCACCTAGCAAACAAAGGAACAGACCGTCAGAAGAGACCAGCCCTGCACTGTGTGGTGGCCAGCGAGATGGCGTGCGGGAGGGAGGCCGGAGCCGCACAGGTGCGGGGTCCTGGCAAGAGGCCGGAGGCAGAGGGAGGAGGATGGCTCTCTCTGGAAGCAGGGGGGGGGGGGGACAAACAAAAAATAAAAATAAACCGGAAAAAAAAAAACGGCATTGCCTGGAGCTTCATCAGGAAAAGTTAAAGTTGGCTGTCAGCTCCCGGATCCGGTTCTCTCGGTTCATTTTCTTGAGTTTCATCCTGCGGTTCTGAAACCAGATTTTCACTTGTCTGTCCGTGAGGTGGACGCTGCGGCTGATCTCCAGGCGCCGCTCCCGGGTGAGGTACATGTTGAACAGAAACTCCTTCTCCAGCTCCAGCGTCTGGTGCTTGGTGTAGGGGCAGCGCTTCTTCCGGCCGCTCTTCGCCGTGAGCCAGTTGGCTGCGTTCTCGCCTTTGGTAGTGCCTGGCATGGAAAGGGAATAGAGAGGAGAAGGTTACATCGAGGCAGGGTGGCAGACTCCCTGGGTGGACGGGGGCTGCCTCTGCCACAGGAGGAGGGATGCCCTCAGTCACACCCGGAGAGGTCCACTCCCCACACCCCGTTAGCTCGCTTGCCCAGGAAGAGCAGTTCCTCTGAAAGGAACATGTAAAACCCGATGGACCCCCCATCTATACCTACCCTCCCAGTTTGCATTTCCATCCCCTTCTCTCCAAACACCTGTTTTAGCACAAAGCTGCCAGCTGCTCTCAGACGAAGGACCTGGGAGGACAGGCCTGGGTACCTTGAACTTACGGCCTTATTTATGTTTTCTCTGCGTCTCGCCCCCAGGCACACAAGCCTTTCCTGCCGCCCCCCCTCGCCTGGGGTCCAGGGTGCCTCCTTGGAGGGGGGTGGGCAGCATGGCTGTGTCTCACTGCAGCCCCTCCCTGCCCAAGGCCTGGCGAGGAGAGGCAGCCAGACGCGGTTGGCAGAAAAAAAAAAGTGATTGGGGTCAAGGGCCTGCTGCCCTCACGGCTCTCCAGGAGCCGGGACGTGCAGTCTGGGCCACTCTGAGTCCCAGGCAAAGCGCAAAGGTCCCTCTCTGCCTCTGAGCTCAGGCCCCCGGGCTCTCAGGCCCGATTCGCCTTTCTTCTGCCCGCAGCAAGGATTCCCGCCCCTGCAGCAACTTTGAAAAAAAGGCATGGGGGATCGTAAACTCGAACTTCGCCGGTTAATGGGCTTATTTATTGGTGCTGGCGGCTGCTTATTTTGGATGCCTTACAAACATCCGTGCTATCTGCGGGCGAGCCACTCTCCCTCCTTCCCCTCCCCCGCGTGGGCCGGCCTCGCAGCCTGGGCCCAGGCCACGGGAGAGGGTGCCCCTGCCCCACGGAGGACATGCCCCAGAGGGGCGCTGCTCGCCGGGATGGGATCCTCGCCCCCCAGGCGGGGGGAGCCCAGGCCAGCGCAGAGGACGGACGTCTCGGTGTGTGTGGGGCACCAGGCTGGCCGTGAATTTTTACTGCGTCCCCACGCCCAAATATTAAAAAGCAAGTTCACAAGGTCAGGCTGCCTGCAGCGCAGGCCAAGGCCGGCCGGGCCGGCGGCCGCGCGAGCTCCTGGCGTCCGCCCGCTCCTGCCCGCCGCCGGCCCGGCCTGCCCGGTGCCCGCCGCGCGGGGCCCGGTGCCCGCCGCTTACCCAGGGCGTCCTTCCCGGGCGACGCCTTGCTGCTCTCGGAAGGGGCCGGGGACAGCTCCTCGGCGGCCGAGGACGACGCGTGCGCCTCCTCGTCGCCCTGCGAGCCGCCGCCGGCGCCTCCGCAGGCCAGCGCGGGGGGCGGCGAGTCCAGGGCGCGCTCCTTCCGCGCCGCGTCCGCCGCGCCGGGCGCCAGCGCAGGTGGCGGCGGGTCGAAGCCGCGCCCGGGGGGCTGCGCGGGGAACGGCCCGGCGCCCAGGGGCTGCCCGCCGCCGCCGCCGCCGTAGCCCTTGGCCGCGCCGTAGGCCTGCGAGAGGCGGAAGTAGCCGGGCACGGGCACCCCGCCGCCGGGGCCCAGCGCGCAGCCGTCGGGCGGCGGGCCCCGCGGGAAGGGGGCCAGCTCGGCGGCGGCGGCGGCCGGGCCTTTGGGGCATTTGTCCGCCGCGTCGTAGAGGCAGTAGGAGCTCTCCTCTTTGATGTTCTGCGCGAAGGAGCACGCGGGGGCCGGCGGCGGGGGCTGCGGCTGCGGCGGCGGCGGCGGCGGGGGCTGCGGCGGCCCCTCCGGGGGCTCCATCCGGCAGGAGCGGGGCGCGTCCAGCCACAGGTCTAGGGGCGCGGGCGGGTAGCCGTGCGAGCCGGGACCCAGGCCCCCGCCGCCGCCGCCGCCGCCGCCACCGCCGCCCGGCGACGCGGCCTCATTGCGCTTGGCGCCGCCCAGGCCCGGGAAGAGCCCGCAGCCCTGCAGCCCGTAGGGCAGGTCGGCGGCCGGCGGCAGGTAGACCCCGCCGGGGCCGAAGTAGCCGCCGCCCCCCGCGCCCCCCGCGCCCCCGCCGCCGCCGCCGCCGCCGGCCTCCACTCGGCCCGAGCTGATGAGCGCGTCCACCAGAAAGGAGTTCGCGGCGGGGCTCTCCGAGCATGACATGGTTGTGGGGTAATTTGGCGGAGGGAGCAGATAGCCCTTTCTGGCTGACATTTCTTGTGCAAAACATGCTGAATGCGATTAGCGATCCCCCCGCGCCGCGGCGGCCGCCCGCAGCCAATCCCGAGCCGGCGCCGCCGCGCGACCCCTCCCAGTTTGCTGTCGTAGCGGGGCCCGCGGAGGCCTCCGGCGCGATTGATAGAAATATGTAATCGGTATTGACGGCCGCGGGGCGCACGCCCCCCGCCTCGGCCCCGGCCGGCGGCGGCGGGGGGCGCCCCAGGCGCCTGGGGTCGGGGAAGGAACCTGGCCCGTGGGTTCGCCCAGCCCGTGCCCTGATGTGAACCCTCTTTCTGAGCTGGGCGTGAAGGGTCCCTCGCCCCCCGCGCTGTGAGCCAGCGGGGGGGGGGGTGCTGTTTATGGCTGCACCCCGGCCCGCTGTGGGTGCTCCCTCCCCCTTCCTTATTTTGGAATCTGCCATCAGCTCTCCCGTCCCCTCTAAATGCTCAGGGGTCCTCGCAGGGGCTCAGCTCTCCCCATTCCCCCATTCGGATCTGGATTTGTCTCCCCAAAGTGGCAGACCTGGACCCAGGCCACCAGGACCCTCAGAGTGCCTAAAGTCCAGAGCGGACTGGAAGCTGGCAGTTGCCACTGAAGTTTTGCATTCCTCACAGAATCTCCCCCCCCCCCAAATGGAATGCCCCAGGCCCTGCACTCTCTTCTGCCAGTCTGTGGGTCTAGCTGGGCTCTTGGCCTCTGGTGCCCCTGCCCGGCTTGCTCCTGGGTGGGCCTCGGTGGGCTGGCATGAGGGGGGGAACTGGCAACCTGAAGGAACTGGCAACCTGAAGGACTCCTGCACCCCTGCTCTGAGCTCAGGTCCAGGCCGCCCAGCCCATCACCCCATCAGGCTCCAAGCTCCAGCCCTTCCAGGGAAGTGAAGGGAACACTGGTGTTCAGGCGGGGCCTTTGGCTTGTCCTGAGGTGAGGACCTGGAAGGGAAACTGGGACACCTCTGACACAGTATTCTCTCTCGCCTTCTCCCTTCAGCGTTGGCGTTCGCATGCTCCCTCCCGGAGACTAGGTACAACAGGAACCAGTGTCACCACACTCCTGCCTCTCTGTCGTCCCCTCCCTCCTTCCTCCTCCCTCCTAACCTGGCAGAGCAGCCCTCTCTCCCGCAGTCTATGCGTTTTAACAAGGCGACAGTGAGGAAATCTATTCCCTGCGGGCTCCTGGCCCAGGGATGGGGGCCTTTCGGGGAGAGGCCCTTTGCTCAGCAGCCCCCCAGGTCTCTTCCTCCCCTGGCTGCGAGGACCTGCTCTAAGTCAATGGAAACGAGGGCCCTTGGCGCTAGCCCCCAAGCATGGGCCTCAGACTTGTCTCAGGAAACGAGACCTTTTCCGGCCGGATCCAGTGGAGCCCGGGAGGTCGCGGCCTTGCCCCTGGCCCGCGGGCTGCAGCTCTCCAGGATGCCTCCGGCCTGCCTGCCCCACCGGCCCCTGCGGAGGCCTGGACGGGGCAGCTGCACACCCAGAGCCCGGACAGCCAACCCGCAGGCCTCTGCGCCGCCCCGCGGGGAGACCCTTGCATCCCGGGTGATTTGTCAGGCATGTGGCCTTGTTCTCCCAAGTATAAACCAAGTCCAAGGAGAGAGCGACCCAGGGAGAGCTCTGGGGAGAGCAGGCGACAGAGCCCAGGCGCTGGCTTCTGCGGCGCAGGCAGCTGCGGTCTCTGTGGGCAGCGGCTCCTGGGAGCGCAGAGCCCCGGAGGCCGCGCTGCCTCCAACCACTTCCACCTCCGCCGCCCGAGGTTACTGACTGCGGACCGCGCACCTGGGACGGAGAAAGGGGAAACGGAGGAAGAAAAATCGAGAGGGACAGGAGGCGAGGAGGAAGGAGGGAGAGGAAAGCGAGAAGGTGATGAAGAGAGCCAGTGCTTCCCCATCTGCCAGGGTCCTGAGGCTGCGGCATCCACGCGGCTGAACCAAGGGCGGAAGGTTAGGAACTGCCCTCACTCTCCGCGTCGCTCTCCCGCACAGACCAAAGCAGATTCTAACCCGGCTAAGCCCCCAGGCCGACAAACCTGAGCACAGAAAGGTGTCAGAGCGCCGCAGCCTCCGGCCCTTCTCCCGCGGGTCCTCGCCCGATCTTCCTTGCCAGGAGGGTGGAGCTGAGGGACCGCTGTGCTCCGCAGCGCTGCGGGAACGCCACAAAGCCCAAAGCCGAGGGCTACCTGCGCCAGGGCTTGCCCCTCAATGCTGTGCATGCCTCTCAGGAAAGCTCTGCCAAGCGGAAAGTAGGTCACAAGAACCGGAGAGGGAAGACATGAGCCCCATCAGGCCAGTGGGCCAGGGCTTAGTGCCTCGTCAGACTGGATGCAGAGAGCCGTTACCCAGGCCACAGGCTGGGAAGGGCCAGGGGCCAAGGAGAGGATGCTTGAGGCGGGCGGCTAAGAAAATAAAGTGAAAGGCTATGGTCTGAACCCGTCTTTCTGAACCTTTTTGCAAGTGACGGCGCCTTTGCAAAAACCAAGGCCAAGTCCTGCCTCTTGACCTGTTGAAAATGGTGGTCTGTGTATTCCTACAATTGGACCCGTCATTTTCAAGGAGTTCGGAGACCCCTCAAAGCCAAGGCCTCCAGAAGGTCTCAGGACTCTCCGGAAATTCAGCGCCCCCATGATCTGACTGGTAAGACAAGCCCGGTGCCCTGCCTTAAGCAGCTTGCAGCTCGGGCCTGGTCTGATCAGGGCCCCGTAGGGTGGCCAAATGGGCTTCTAGGCTGGCTGGGATCCAAGAGCCTGCACGTGCCGATCCAGGCTCCAGAAGCCAGCCTGATGCTGCGTCTGCTGCCAGCAGGCTCCTGGCTCCCGGACCATGGCACTGGCACTTGGGCCGTCACTGGGCTTTGGGATGTTTTTCTCCAGCATCCTTCCTCCGTGCTAACCCTTGTAATAACCAACTGGGAGGTTTCCTTTGTGCTGCTTCTTGCTTTATTTTTTTTAAGTGTGTAAACCTGTGTGAGAGCCCCTCTCTGACCTAGGACCATGGCCCAACCCCAAGCTGGGCCCGCAGCGCCAAAAGCCCAAGGAGGCGCTGCCGGTAAGCTCCTCCGGACGCAGACTGGCCTGCTGGTTGGAACAAGACGGTATCACCGCAGCAGCAGCTCAAGCTAAGCCCTCTCCAGGGGTTTGGAGCTCTCAGCATCCCTGGCCACCCCAGGCTCCACACTCCCCAGACTGCAACACCGAGGTGTGAGCTCGCTCAATAGAATATTCCATTTATCGAACATCTCAGCTTCCCTCAGGTGCCCCCTCCCCCTCCCAGAGATTAAGAAAAGCGATTCAATTGCAGCAAGGCTGGCTGCAAGACACACTCTCTCCGCTGGCCTGTTTGCCTCTCTTCCTTTCCCCCTCCTTGCCAGCGGCTGACTTCTCCCTCGCCTTCTGGACGCCTTTGACCTAAAACTCGGTGAGGGCTAGCTTCAACCAGGCGCGGGCAGAGTTATGTGAACCCCACCAGAGCCCAGGTTTTATTTAGGAGTGAACATCGCCTATTCTACCTGGGTGATAACACCCCTCCCCCGTGGCTGTGGGGCCAGAGGAAGGCCAGCCAGGAGAGGGGAACAAACCCTTGGCGATGCCCTTCACCACAGCGGGTTCCCCATCCTGAGAAAGCCCCTGCTTACCACCCCAAAAATCAAACTGTTGCCACAAAACCTTCCTTAAAAAGCACCAGTTCCTGAGAGTCAGGCAGGCAGTAAACCGTTTTTATCTGAATGTCTCTGAGACCCAGACCGGCCGTAGCTTTGGGCTTTGGCCCGCAGAGGAGAAATCAACACTACGTTCACATCTCCGCTTTAACAAAAACTCTGGACTGCTCTGATTCCTGCACTCACCGCAGAGTTAGAAGACATAAGCAGTGCCATTCTTTCCCCCATCTCCTTTAGTAACTAATATTTCCAGGGGTATTATGTATTTGCTTTGGATCCATCAGGTGCAAAACAACCCATTTTACATTTTTTTCTTTTCTTTCTAAATCCCACCCCTGAACTGGCCCTTTCTCCTGACAGGGGCACTGTCAGGGCCTTTTCCCGCACAACCTAAACGGCAATATTCTTAGTTTTGTCCCCAATAAACTGCCTCTGTCTTTGAAACTCGAGGCGGCTCTGGGATTTTAGGGATGGCTCAGGCTGCAGAGACAGCCGTGTGGGCGCCCACTGCTCGGCTGCCTTATTCTGGCAGACTTTGGGAGCCCGTGCTCAACCAAGACTAGTGACTTTGAAGGTGAAAATTTACACATATGTATACACAGGCACACACACACACATATACATACACACACATACACACATAGAGGCAGCACTTACTTTCTCTAAGATTCGCCCGCTCACCCATGCACTGCATGCTTGTGAAAAAAAAAATAACCATCTCAAGAAACCATTTGAAAACATATTGGAACACAGATGTAAACATGGGGAAAGGGAGAATTTGACTCTGCCCTCCAAAATATAAGTGCAATTATTATTTCGAAATTGTTTTATGGCAACCCTGATGGAGGGATGGTTGGCCCTAGTTTGTCCTCAGCGCCAGCTTTTTTAAAGCAGATAGGCATTTTGGCAGTACAACGGTCGCGTCCTTGCAAAATATGCAAAAGATCTCCATTTTACATCTTAAGACATTGCTGCAGAATGCCAGCCAGGTTTATAGCGGTACCGTCCACATCAGTGACACAGGCTTATCTGGAAGCCTGGAAAATCAAATGCCACTTTTCTGACCTGGCCTTTTTTGGGAACAAAGGTTTCCCCTGGCTGCTAGGCAGACCTAGAGACCGCACCTCGCAGCCAGCCGTCTTCCCCAGGGAATAAGCCCGCCCCAGCGGCCACGGCTGCTGACCACCTCATTGTTTGGAGGGAAAACTTTCTGTCTTTCCCAGTCCCGCCATCTCTTTCCCCCCAACACAATCCCCTATTCCAGCACAGCCCAGACTCTTTCTCTTAGATTCCCCCTCTCCCTTCCTGGCCGATTGATCCATCCCGAATACTTCTACAAAATGGAAGGATTGCCTTGGGTTTGTAGCGGCGCAAAAGGGGCTGAAATCGTCAACTTTTCCACGGAGGCCTCCGCTTTGCAGCCTGGAGGAGCGGTGCGGAGGGAGGTGGGCTGGCCACCTAGAGCGTCACCCCGGAACGCCCGACCCCAGCCGCTCTCCCGGCCCTGCCCCAACGTCGGCCGCCCCCCTACTCCCGCCCAGGCCCGTTTGAAATCGCTAAACTCGGGGCCTCTTACCTGGACACATTTCCGAAGAGATCCCCGCCCTGGCTCCTCCGCGCCAGGAGCGCCCGCGAGGCCTAGCGAAGGCGCGTCGCTTTCCATGGCAGCACCGACCACATCTTGCAGGTGAGCACCCCCTTTTTTGAGATGAAAGGGAGCGGGACAAGTGAAATAACCTAACGTGCAGCTCTTGGTATCAGAAGCGAACAAAGGCCAAGAACCGCGCTGGGGTTCCCGGCTCCCCGGCGGCGGCTTTGACATTGATCGGAAGGGCGCCATCTCGTGGCGGCTGCGCGCCTTACGCCGGGCCCGAACGCACTCCGACCGGAGCCGGGAGAGGGAAGCAGGCTCCAGGCAGAGGCGGCGGGAGAATGTGCCCAGCCCCGCTGCGAAAGGGATCTCGCTTTTACATATCAGAAATCGCTGCAAAACCCCAGCCGGGTTTATAGCGGCGCATTCCAAATATGCAAATTGGCCGGCCCCGGACGGGTTTACGACCACATTGTCACAGCCATCGGAGGATGGGCTTTTATAGGGCTCAGAAATCAAACCCTCGCCCGCTCGCCGCCCGCCCGCCCGCCCGCCAACAGCCTTTCTGGCTAGACTCTCTCTAGCAACTTGGGAGACTCTGGTTAATCTTTAACCGTCCCAAAGGAAGTCTTTCCTTAAACCTCGGGCTTCCCTGCCCGCCCCCTCCCTGCCCCTCTGGAGAGTCCTTGTTCACCTCTGTGTCTGTCTAGCAGCCTAGACATCCATCTCCGGGGTCTGTCCCACTCCCCTTTGAGCTCGAGGTTCCCAGTCGCGCCATCTAGACAAACACACAAACAGATAAACAAAGCGGGGCCTGGGGCCTGGGGCCTAGGGCCCCTCTCCGAATTGGATCCTGTCTGCCCGCCCTGGCCCTGCCTGGGTGGCTGGGGAGAGGGTGGGGTGGGGGTGGGGTGGCAACAAAAGGCTCTGGCCTCTCCACCCTGCCCCTCAAGGTTATGGTGATGGTGATGTCCAATTTTAAGGCAGAAGTTCAAAGGCAGGAAACAAAGAGGAAGCGAAGAAGCGGCATCTTTCTTTCTTTCCCCAAAGGGAAAGCCTATGGCAGCTGGGAGCTGGGGAGAGAGCACCCTTACAGACTCTGAGAGTCTGCCCTGTCTTTGTACCCAGACTCCTCCCTCCTGCTGAGGGGGTCCCCAGGGCCCCCTACAGTGGGTCCACATCAGTCCTGCGGGTCCCGAGGTGAGGGAGTCCAGCCTGGATCAGATCCACTGACCGCCGCATAAGCCCCAGGTTTTCTCCCAGGGCTGGGCAGCCAGAGCATGAAACCCCATATTCCAAGTCCTGAGGTGCCCTATTCCTGGGACCCCATTTCCTCAAAGGGCCTGGCCAGACACCTTGGCTTCCTGAGTGGAATTAAATCCCAAGTCACCCCCCAGATCTTCAGGGGCCTAGTAACTTGCCCCTTTCCTGGTGTGTATGTATGTGTGTGTGTGGTGGGGGGGGATGGTTGGGATGGGGTAGACATTTGGCAGTAAAAGATGAGCCAGGAGAGAAATGTCACACCAGGACCCAATGCTCAAGTTTCCACAGTCTTTATTTTCCTTGTGCCCTGTCGCTTGTATGCATGCTGCCACATCCACGATGGGCGAGAACAGAGGACAGGCCAACCCTCCTTGCAAGCAGAGCCACCAGACACTGCTTCTTAGCAGAGGGATGCAGGTTCAGTGGGCTGGGGCCGGCTTTCTGAGCTGAGGTCCCCGGACACTGTGGGGCAGAAACACCCCTGAGAAGACCCCCTCCCAAGCTCTCAAAATATTGCAAGAAATTAAGAAGACCATTCCCAACACCTTTCCTGCCCCCTCCTCCACCCCGGAGGAAATCAAGTAATGGCAAAAATAAATAAATAAATAAAAATAAAAAAGTATTCAAACAAAATAGGTTATGGTTTCTTTATTTACAAGTCTTTTGAACACCATCCCTGTATGAAGCGTACATTCAAATACTCTTAGCAGTGAGTGAGTTTAACCGTGGGACACTGTAAACAGATAGAGCCTTTAAATATCTTCATCATCTTTTCTCTTTTCTCTCTCTCTCTCTACATTGCATCTTTTAAAATTCGCTTTGGTTCCTGCAGGGAAATATACATATATAATATAATATTTATCTTTTAAAATAATTCCAAATCACTCTTCCGCCCTTGGAAGGTTGCTGGAAGCTTCCAAGCTCAGTTCCGGGGCCTTGAAGGGTGAGAGGGTGGCGCTGGAACCGGGTGTTTTGGGGGACTTGCGCCCCTCAGAGCTGAGGACAGCTGGCCGGGTGGCTTCTCTGCTGAGCAAATCCGAGCTTCCGTTAAGTGTGGCAGAAGCTGTGCCAGGCTGCCGCACTCCGCAGGCCTTTCCTGCAGAGATGGAGGGGCCAGCGCCCAGCACAGCCTCTTCGCTTTGTGATGTCTCCCACCTTGGGGACTAGGACCCTCTGCACGCAGGCTTCAGGCCTGCCTGAGCAGAGCCAGGGCGAAGACCCTCCTGGCCAGGGAAGACTGGGTGGGCTGCAAGAGGCAACTGCTAAGAAGCTCAAGGCTGAGATAGTGCGGTGAAGGGCTGGGAGGAGTGGAGGGCCACTCGTGCTTCCTGGAATCCTAGGGTTTTGTTTTCTGTTTTCTCTCAAGAATCAGCAGCCCTCTCCCACCTCACAGCCAGCCACCTTAGTCCTGTCACATTTCACGTTGGCTCTGGAGAGCAGCCCCATGCTGGGCATCTAGGATCCCCCCACCCCTCTCCTCCTGCTCCTGTCCCCAAGCTGAACTGGTTTGGGAGATGGACTGGCTTCTGGATGCAGGGGCTCTGGGGGGTGGGCAGGCTCCAAGTGGAGGGTCCTGGGTGGGGGTCGGTCCCCAGGGGGGCCTGGCGGAGACCACACCCAGCCTGAAGCTCGCAGTCTCCATGAATGAACCACCAGGGGTCCCACACCATTCATGCTGGTGGATGCACACAATCCTCTGAATCCAATTGTCAGGGATTTAGCCACGGGTGCCCAAGAGAGCCCCGGGCCGCCTCCCTGGAGGCTGTCTCCCGGAGGGGCCCCTCTCTGGCACACCTCCTCTCTGCCAAAGTCACCGCGCTGTGCCTTGACCTTGTCAAGGGCAAAATCTGCGTATAATCTCCCGTGTGCGCAGCCCCCCACCCTGGATCCAGCTGGCGGGAGCCTTAGAGGAGAGGGTTGGCCGAGTAATACTGTAACCGGTCTCTGTTAATTTTTTTCTCCTTCATCCTTCTGTTCTGAAACCAGATTTTGACTTGCCGGTCGGTGAGGTTGAGCATGCGGGAGAGCTGCAGCCGCTTCTCCTTGTTGATGTACACGCTGAAGAAGAACTCTCGCTCCAGCTCCCGGATCTGGTACTTGGTGTAGGGGCAGCGCTTTTTCCGGGTGCGAGGGCCACCTGTGGGCGAGGAAGCGGCGGGAGTGAGCCAGGTGCGGGGGCTGCCGCCCAGCCGGAGCCCCGAGAGGAGGACAGGGGCCGGCCCCGGGGACTGGAAGCCCTGCCCAGGCCCCTGCATCAGGCTTCCTCTGTGGTCTGGGGACCGCGTGCAGGCGGAGGCTCGGCCCAGATAAAAGCCAGCTCCCTAGATGGGCCCCCAGGGAGGCCTGGGGCTGCCTCCGGAGCAGAGCGCGGGGCTCCTCGCAGCAGCAACAGGCAGGTTGGAGCCGGGAGGCCGCTTTCAAGGCAGCCGAGTGGGGGTCGCCGGCTGCCTCCAGCCAGGCCAGACTAAACAAACAGCCACCCGAGGGCGTCGCACCTTCCAGCACCTGGGGGCCGGTGGGAAGAGGGCTCTGAGGGCAGCCCCAGCCCCAGGCCTCCCCCTCGTTACCATCTGGGGCGGCTGCCGGCTGTCAGCCAGAGCTGGCTCCCGGTTCAGCCTCCTGGCTCCCGAGGTCAGGACAAGGCGGTGGGAGCCCCTAGCCTGGGCTTCTCAGGGCCTAAGGCCACACAGCCACCCTGGTCCCCCCAGGGCAGGGCTGCTGGTTTAGATGGGGGCAGGGAAGAGGGGTCCCCCCAGGCCCATTGTGGGTAAACCTCCCTGAGACCTAAGGAAAAAGCCCCGCTTTTGGACAGACCCAGCAGCCGCCGTGAGTAACCAGCGGCCGGACAGGAGGGGGCCCGTAATTGCCCCCGCGCAGGGGGAACCTGGCTTCCTCTGGACAAAAAGGCCAGCGTTGGGTTAATTTGCTCCCGTTAATATATTGCTCGAGCTAAGCGGGCTATTTTGTCTGTGCAAACACGCTTCCCCCGCCATCGTTAAGCGCCGCTGCCTTTGAACGCCGCCCGGCCCCGGAGAGCCGGCGCAACACATGGTTTTTATAAAAACCTCCGGCTCCCCGCGCTCCGGCCCGGCAGCCTCGCAGGGGGAGCCCCAGGCGCCCGCCTCCGGCCGCCGCCCCCGCCGCCCCGCGCTGCCCGCCGGCCCGGGCGCGGGGCCGGGGGAGAGAGGGAAAAAGGGGGAAAAGGAGGAAAAAAAGGGAGGGCGCTTTTTCCGCAGCCAGGCCCCGGCCGGTGGGTCTTTCACGGCCAATTTCAGCACTCGCCACGTGATCCCGCCTTTTATAACGAAGTTTCGTTGGGGGGGGAAACCTACAGGCCCTTCATAAACCTTATACGCTTATAAAACAGCATATAAAAATTTAACAGCGGCGCTGCGCCCGCGCCCGGCTCCGCGCTCCGCCGGCGCGGGGCCCGCCGCCTTTATACGCACCGGGGCCGCCGGCCTTGTCCTCAGTGTGGCCGGAGGACGACTCGGGGCTGCTGCTGCTCTCGGGGCGCCGCCGCCGCTCCTTCTCCTCCGCCGCCGCCGCCTCCCGGCAGCCGCCGCCGCCGCCGCCGCCGCCGTCCGAACTTGAAGTTGCCGGCGCGCCCGTGGCCGCCGCCGCCGCCGCCGAGGCCGCCGGGGGCCCCTTCTCGGCGCTCTTGTCGCCGCTGCCGGGGAAGTCGGCGGAGGCGAGGTTGTCCGCGGAGCCGTAGGCCGTCTCGAAAAACTGGTCGAACGCCTGCGGCAGAACGCCGTTGCGGCCCACGGCGCTATAGAAGCCGGAGGAGACGGCGGGGGCGGGGTGGTGGTAGACGCCGGCGCCCTTGGCCAGCTCGCCGGGCACGCCGGCCGCGCCGGGCGCCTGCAGGCAGTCGCGGTGCGCCAGCTCCTCGGCCGCCGCGTAGCAGGGCGCCAGGTTGCCGCGCGGGTGCCACTTGGCGGCGGGCTCGATGGCGGCGTACTCGCGGAAGGTCACCTCGCGCACGGGTTGGACCGGGGGCAGGTTGGACGAGTAGGAGTATGTCATGGGGCGCGAAGACGGGGCCTGGGGCAGGAAGGAAGGGAGGCTGGAGAAGTCTGGGCCCGAGACGTAGTAAGTACAACTTGGCAAGTACATGTTAGAGGAGCAGGGACCACGCTCATCAAAATCCATCACGGGGGCCGGGCTACCTCGGGCTCTCCGCCGCCGCGGGAGCCGAGCTTAACATGATGCTCCGCCACGGCAGCTGCCTCTTTGAAGCGGATCCGCGAAGTAGAAATTTGGAGACGTAAAGCTGACGTGGAAATCTATCCCCATCCTTAGCAGGGAGGTGCTGGTCATGTGACCCGATGGTGAAATTGACAAGCTGCGGGCTGGTCCGGGCCTTTTTTTTTTTTTTCTTCCCCTCGCGCGCGCTCTCTCTCTCTCTCCCCTCTCTCTCTTTCCTTTTTCTCCCCCCCCCCACCCCTCTGCCCTCCCTCCCTCCCCGGTTTCCTTTCTTTGTAGCTACCTCAGGGGAAGCAACAGATCGTCACTCGGTGTTCTCACCGAAAGCACGTAATCGCCGGTGTAACTCATGTTGGCTGGGGGGCCTCCCGGCGCGGCGGCGCGGCCCCGGCCTCCGGCGCCCCGGGCGGTGAGCGAGCCCCACTCCTGCCCCCGCCTCTCCCCGGCGAGGGGCGCCCCGGGCGGGGGGGGGGTGGCCGGCGGGGGAGCTCGCCACTGCGTGTCCCGCGCGCGCTCGTGGAGCCAGCCCGCGGGGAGGACCACGTCCGCGCCTCCTCCTTCCCTCCCTCCCACCCTCCTCCCTCCCACGGGCTCGCTCTGGGAGCCCGGGCTGCCGCCGACCCCGGCCGGACCCCCTCCGGGGCCAGGGCAGGAGGCGGCCGTGGATGTGCCTGCCCCGTGGCTCGCCCGATTTGCACGGTGCCTTGATTACACGCTCGCATTCATGGTCACTTCCGAACCGCTTTAGTGCCTTCCGTCCCTAAACCGCCAACGACCGGGGCGGCTTCCCTCGCGGTTTGCCGGGGATCCGCAAGGTCCCGGAGGGCCTTCGTCTCACCCGGGATCCACCTCCCCTCCGCCCTCCGGGCCGGCCTCCCCATCCAGCCCCTGGCCTTGGGGAAGCCCCCTCCTCCCCGCCGCCGGCCGGAGTTGGGGTTCCGAGGCCCTCGGCGGGGCCGGGGCGCGGGGGGCTGCTCGCCGCCCGGTCTCCTCAAGCTGCGGACCGGGAGCGGCGGCAGAGGCGAGCCTGAGCTGCTTCAGAGGCGGTGACATCCGGGGTCTCCCCCTAGGCAGGCTGCACTTGGGGGGCCCGCCCGGCTGCGAGTGAACCCCAGGGCTGTGGGGATGGTGAGGCCAGTGGAGAGGGAGAGAGGGCCAGAAGCGGCTGAGGAAGGACTAACATGCCTCCTCCTCGTCCGCGCAAAGCGTGAGAGCCAGGGATGTGCGGGGCAGAAACTCGGAAGGTTCTGCGCTTCCCCGCTCCTCATCCCACAGAAGGAACACACGGCAGAGAAGAGAGCTGGGCTCCCCCAAACCCGCAGCACCTGGGGGGACAGGCCGCCGGGAAAGGCTGGGTGTAAGGTAAAGACAGGAGACCGAGGCCCGAGGGGCTGGTGTGAGCCTGGTTTTCTGGGGAAGAGGAAAGAAAAAGCATTGATGGTGGAAAAGGATCACCATCCTGCAGGGCTGAGGGAATAGTGCTCAGGAGAATCGAAAGGAGAAGTAGATTCGCCAGGCGCGGCCAGAGCGGGGAGGGCCCGCCCCAAGGCCTCCCCACACCTATCTCCTTGGGGGAAGCTGGATGTCGCTGTAGCAAAGTCGAAAATTAAAAAGAATAACCTTTTCCCTTTCCCCATCCAGGAAATAGCTGAAGGAATTTCTACATCGTGGGGAGATTTAGCGTATAAACTCTAAGATCTTTGGTATTTAAGTGTCAACATCGATTCATTTATTTATTGCTGAGCTGACTGTAACTGACTCAATAACAAATCTAATCATGCATTGCCCTGGAAAAGGAATATTCTCATTATGTATTTTCTCCAAACGATGGCTCGACGTTGCATTTGAATGTCTGCTGTAAATACCAATAATATCGAGTAATTACTCTGCAGTGGAGTAAACTAATTTATTAGCATTAATGTTTATGTGGCTCCTACTCCCTTCTTTTACAAGGGGAGCTTATCACAAATCATACTTCGCAGACACGTTGGTTTAATGAACTCTTTATTCCGGGTTTGCTGCGAGAACGTTCATGCTCCTTGAATCTCTGAGGACCGAACTCAAAATTATTTGTTCGCCTTGAGCTTGACATAACTGTGCGCGGTGGCTTGTGCAGAGGGCAGGGACCGGGTGAGGGAGAAGGGCTGGTGGGAAGGAAGGTTATTGGGGAGAGGCAGCTTGAGACCTCTTCAAGCTGGGGATCACAATTATGGGATTGCCCGACAGCAGAAGAAAAAAAAAGAAAGAAGGGGGGGAAAAAGAAACACACCAAATAAAAAAAAAACTTTGATTTCCAGCGTGACCAACAAGGCAAAATATTTATTTATCTACAGCATCTCTTTCCTGGAGGCCTCAGGTGAAAGGGAGGAGAGGTTTTGGAGTAGCAGAATTTGAGCCATTCTCTGGCTAGATGTTGGTTCTCCCAAACTCTCTCCCCACAGCCCACCCAGTCCCCGCAGCCCCCACCCCACCCCACCCCCACCCCCGCCCTGGAACAAAAGGAATGCATGAGGGGTTTCAGTGCCGGTGCCATAACAAAGGCGCCACCATTGCGGGGCTTGCCCCGCCCCTGGGTGAAGGCAAACAAATTCTTGCACTTGTATTAGGGCTTTTAAGACTATAATTGAACCTGGGGGCGTCTAGGGGAACCGAAAACAGTTGTAGACAGACCTGGGGTTTTATAGCAGTTTTGGCAGTCAACTTCAGCTTGTGCCTGAGCAGACCGGCTGCGGTGGCCCGCCAGCGGGGACGCCAGGCTGCCTCCCTCAGCTGCCTGCAGACCCTCTCCTAATAAGCTCGGTCTCCCTTGGTGCTAGGGAGCAGGGGTCCCCACAGGAAGGTGGGTATGGGGCTGTGCCCGGTTCCAGGTAACCAATGCCTCCGGTGTCCTTGAGAGCCCAGCCGGGAGGGGCCGCAGGTCTGGCTCCCATGGGTGTCTGCAGGAGACAAAGGCGAATTCCCCAGGAAAGGCTGGAGCAGGGGAGGTGCTCCCGGAGCGGTCGGCGGGGCAATGGGAGGGCTGGACAGAAGCGGGTGCCGGGTGGAACTTGCCGCCTGGAGGGGGGTATGCAGGGGCACTGCCTGGAAGAGGATGAGGGAGAATGCGTGGAGCGGTGAATGCTTGATCTCCCCAGCAGGCACAGAATGGGCTCTCAGATCCCCAATGCTGCGCACTGTTCCCAGCTCCTGCCCCACCTGACTGTGTGGTGGTGGGTGGGTGGGCGGTGGGTGGTGGGTGAGGGTGGGCGCAGCTCTGGGGATCAGGCCAAATCTTGGGGAAGCAGGGGCGGCAGAGCTGCGGGGTTTGGACTTTGCTCTCAGCCTAATTGACTCTTCCGCTTTGTAGGAGGCCCGACAGCAGAGCTGAGCCCACCGACTCCGGGGAAGACCTCGCAGGGCCAAGGCCGCCCTGGAAGTCCAAGTCCGAGCTGCATTTCTGGAAGAGGCTGAGCCCGGCAGAGCTGTAGCATTGGCCCGGGAGCCTGCTTTCCCATGAGCTGTTCTTTTCCCAGAGCTCCACGGCGCGGAGCCATCTCCAGAAAACAGCCCTCCGCGCGTATTTCCTTTTATCGCCAACCCGGAGCCCCGCGGCCGCTCTGCGAGAGGCCAAAAATGTTTTGGAGGAAGAAAAACAAAGGCAGGAAGTGGCGGCGGACTGACGGTGCGTGTGTGTCTGCGGAGAAGGGAGGGAGCCGGTTTCAATCTCTTGTTTTTTCCAAACTTCTCTTCTTGTTGTTTTTCCAAACTTCAAGGTCTAGGCAGCCCTGGCAGGGCTGGCCCGCTCGCTCCGCGCGCAGCGTTGGAGAGAGATGGCCACCGGAGAGGAGCAGGCGGCGCCCGCGCCAACCTCGCCGGGCGGAAATGGCTAACGAGGAGATTTGCGCAACAAAGCAGACCGGGTCTTTCCGAGGCTCCTTTGATTCGGGCCTAATGTCGGAGGGGGTCGCAGGGGGTCCTGCAGCGCCTCCGGATCCTCCTGCGGCGGGCTGCGTGCGCCCCGGCGGCGGCGGCGATGGGGGAATTCCTGCGCCCGGCTCCACGCGCCTCCCCGGGCGGGACGCCGGAATAAAGTGTGCCCAGGTGCCTCTGCCCAGCTCTGCGCCTCCGCTTCTTCTTGCAGCCGATGCGTCTGGGCAGCAGCTGGCGGGCGGTAGTTGGCGGTGCCTGGGATGGGCAGCCTTGGTGCGGTCAGTGCGCACCCGGACAACGTGAGGCCTTTTCGCTGGGACGGTTGTGCTGGGGGTATGTCCAGCCATCATTCTAGGGATGGGAGCCCCAAAGGCTGTCACTTGATAGGTGGCTTACCACCCGCTCACTCCTAGGGAGGACGGAGCTGGGGGCAGGGAGCACCTCCACGCGCCGGTGTTCCTAGCCCCAACCGGCTCTGCTGCCAGGCTGCCTTACTCTTTCTTGGGAATGGCTTGGGCACCAGCAGGGACTCATTGCCCCCCAAATCTGAGAAGCCAGAGTCCCTAGTGCCTGCACTTACAACCCTTTGACTGCTCTGTGCCTAGTCCATGGCGTGAATGCCAATCCCAGGATGCGCCCACTCCCACCCCCACCCTAGCCAGTGGAGTCTCTTTGCACCTACTGCTCTCCAGTCTCCCGCCCTGTCTCTTTCCAGCCCCAATTCGCCTTCTTCAGTTTCCTGCCTCTTCCGAGCAAGAGCGATGTGCCACTGGAGGGCACCCAATACTCAAGCACGGAGAAGGGAATGGTTAGGTTCCAGATTCTTCCTCATTTCAGGCCTCCTCCATAGAGGTCTATCCGGACTGGATTTCTCACCTTCTTCTGAACGCTCCATCCCGAGGCCCTGCCTC